ATTTTTGAGGAAATGTGTCTCTACATCTAGCCGTTTTCAAACATCCAAATGCACACGTTAAGATATTTTAAAGTGGTTTTATTTTAAAGTAAAGTTTTTACATTAAAAAGCAATTCATTCATTTTTAAAGGTATTTATATTTTTTTATCTTTTGACATGTTCTTACGGTAGTTTTATATGTTTTTGTGCAAGTTACTGCGTCCTTATTTGGACGGTATGAATTTGTGTTACCGTCACCATGTCTTCTTGTATCAGCCTGCTGGCCTATATAGGCACATTCATTTCACAGCGTGTTTGTAAATGTTGCAGCTACACTGAACAAGAAGGAAAGTTGAACCTTGGATTCCCAAATGTTGTACACGTAGCGCGCGCGACACGACTGGGGCAGCTGCCGAGAAGGGGGAACATCAGCTTTTTGTTTAGGCCTGTAAGCCTTTCATCTATTCCTAATCATTTTGGCTTATATAGTAGGCTAACAGAAATATTCGTTAATCGTGGAAAATATTCGACTCTCCTTTAGGATAGGCAAGTTTGCGTTTTGTACCATGCCACAGCAATTCTCTCCCTGTCTGTAAAACTAAAACTTGGAGTCTATTAGTTGGACGAAATTTTTAAAGGGACGTTAGTAAAAACAACCTAGACTCACGTGCACCCAAATATTCCTGGATGAAATTGAAGGTGTCAGTTTTCCCGTAGAGGAGCGCGAGCTCTCCGGCTGTGTATCCCTCGCTGTTGGCGGCTTGGGGGTTGGCGGTGCATTCAATCAGCAGCTGCGTCACGTCAAGGTGGCCCTCCCTGGCGGCCAGGTGCAGCGGCAGGTTACCTTGCCCATCCACGAGGTTCGTGTTTGCGCCGTGGTCCACAAGCACGCGCACAGAATCTATAAAGCCCTCGCGTGCGGCGTCGTGGGTCACGGTGAGATTCAGGACCGGGTCGGGCACGTTGGGGTCTGCCCCTGCCACGAGGAGGGCCTCAACAAGTGCAGTGTTCCCCAACTTCACCACCTTTACAAAGAACGAAAGAGGAGACACAAATTAGGCTTTGATTAAGATGCTGCATAAGAAGAAACGAAGAACAAAGTAAGGCCGCTTTAGCCTGGTTTATAAAACTACAGGCTTTACACGCTTGTTTTACAGACTTAAGGCTGTTCTTCATCGACATGACAGCCGCGTTTAAGACAATGTAGGCTACTGCAAAAGAAGCAATTCATAGAATATTAGCATGTAGATGGCTTGCTAAGGGGTTATAGATAGCTGTTGTTTTTTTTTTGTATCACTGAAACAACATTAGAGCTGCATACAGGATAAATGCTATGTATAAATCAGAAGACAGACAATTACTCAATTTGGTGATAATCTAAGTGACCCGTGTCATTATCCTAATTCCTAGTAGTGGTAGCAACAGGCTTTTTGTATGACTATTTTAAGATTTTTCTGAAAACTTATGTAGAGCCTTCTGTTTGTGTTGCCCAACTCATTTCCTCTTCATAACTGTTTTCTTCTCTGCAGTTACTAAACGAAAGTAGCCTATTTTATGTAGAATGATCTTTCTTTGATACAACACAACTAACCTTGTATTATTATTATTTAAGTGCAACTTATTTTTCAAGATCTGTATTTCAATAACATTCACATTTAAAACGGATAGCCTACTAACCTATAACAGCAACATTTTATAGCTCAGCTGAAACCAACTGACACTTTTTTCAGAATATATTTACAATATAATAATAATAACTTTATTTATATAGCACCTTTAAAAACACAGGTTTACAAAGTGCTTCGACAAGCAGCAAAGGCAAAAACAAGAACAAAGCAAACTAAACCAAACACAGAAGAACATAAACAACAGCAAGAACATAACAAATGCAAAATACTCCAAATAATAAAAGACAATCCAACAGAAAAGAACCCATATAGCAAGATACCCAGACATATATAACCCGGCCTTAATAAAAACCATTACAAGAACCCAGGAAAGACAAGAACACAACAACACGAGCTGAGACAAAGAGGAGCAAAGATTTAAAAAGCTGTAAGAAACTAAAAGGGCTAAAAGCAAATAAAAAGAGATAACAGCAATAAGAAGGTAAGAGCAGTAAAAATAAATAGAAACAAGTGATTAAATGATCAAAATAATAGTAATAATATAGGCTAAACTTAAAATAATCATTTACAGCAAAACTATAGGCCTTTTTTGTGTGAAAGATTTGATTAGTTTGACAAACATTTTTAGGTAAGATAAGAATCATCCTCTCTGACATCCGTCTATCTATAGGCCTATTAACTTCAGAAATCATATAAAACATAATCAGATATCATCACAAAACTACAGTAGGAAAAGGAAGTCAAACACGTGGCATGTGTGTCACATAGTCACTACGAGCATTGAGTATGTTTATTTTCCCAAAAGCACTTTGAAAGAAACAAATTTAAAATTCGTTTGTACCAACCTGCAATGCAGTTCTGTTGAAAGTATTGAATCCATTAACATCGGCTCCATTTTCAAGCAAAAACAACACATGTAGTAGTTGTCCACTGGCAGAGGCATTGCAGAGCATGTCTGCTTCCGACAGCTCGGCCATTGTTGTAAAAAATATCAAGAAATAGAATCCAAAGTTCCGAATAATATGATGAGAGAAAAATTGCTTTAATCCAGGAGACAGTCTGGTCTACACCTCTCGGAGGCCCCACCTCCCCTTACATGAAACCTTAGATGACCCAATAAAGCAAGGAGAAAATTCTGCCACATCACTCGAGGACAATGGGGCTTACATCTCAATAATCTATATTTAAAAAAGAACAAATGTAAGCAGCAGCTAATGAGGTCCTCAAAGACAGGGCTGAAAACAACAAGCACAATAGGATTACTTTTCAATGTGTATGTGTGTGTATGTATGACCAGACCCAGATCTTTCATTTGTATCTTTTTTCACCTTTAAATACATTTAAATTATTCTGGATTGGATTGATCAAACATTGATTTCTTATAAATATGCAATGTAGTAGGAACTAAAACACATGATAGGCTACTTAAAAAAAATATATATATATATAAATCACACTTTCTTTTTTTGCATATTTTGATCTTTGAAACTAAATTGATATATAGTGACTTTAACTGATTTTATATACACCTTTCATACAGGCTATGTTAGTCTGTAATTTTGCAGTTTAGCTTATGAGTGACTGGCATACTCAAATTATTTCCAATGCATTAAATATCATAGAAACTATTTATGTTGTAAGAGCACCATCTAGCAGCAGAAACAGTCTAATGATCAGATGTTTATTTGATCTGGTGAAGATATAAGACCCTCAAGTATTAATGCAGACCAATACATTTTAGTCAATGGATATGGGTAGCATACAGCAACAGCAATTGCACTTTTATTTTTTTAGGATATAGCCTACAAGAAAAATTGTCTAGAACTAGGCTATGTTCTTGAACTGTACTTAGCCTATACCATGAATTATACCCATACCACAAGCTTTCCTTCCTGAGATTGGTCACTGTAGAATCCTGCCATGTCGAAAGCCTTAGAAATAGGCCAAGATAAAAAGCAAAACAGTTATTAAAATGGCTACGGCGGACATTTACACTTACTTCCCGCTCATATAAAAAAACAACAACAATGACTAATTTTAAAAAGGGCTGGTATCCAATTCGACTACGATCCTGTTATTAAGTCTTCTTCAGGGCTGAGAGCATCAGAGAAGGGAGCGAGTCCGTCCCAAAATTGCACGATCATCCTGTTTCTCGAGAGGAAACCTACCCTACGGTAAATCCTCCGTTAGCCGCTGTCACAATAATGTCCGAGTCAATAATGTCTCTCAAACATGCATGCTAAAATGTCCAAACACGGTGCAGCTCCTGCTGAGATATCGTTAGTGGCATGCTGTCACATGTAAGGTTCGTTAGACGTGCAGATAAAGCTGGTGATAATAGGATGTTTGTCCTCACAGATCGGCTGAGTAAATAATTTTTAAACAATGTTGCCTAAAAGATGAAATGGTGTGATTGGATGGAATCTGTAAAAGGGGGCGGGGTCGTGGGGGTTGGTAACATGATGCTGTAACAACGAAGCAGTTGTGAATCCTTTATAAGTAAGATACCACTGATACAGGGTTTAGCCTTCATTTCAGAAATCTAAAGAATTTGGGGAAAAAAAAAACTACGCACTTTTGGTTTATATTGAACTGTGTAAATCCCAACAGGCACAACGGAGACGTATACTGACGCAACTGTGGTGGGTACCCATCAGCTTCGTGTCATCTTACCGCCCTCTAGTGATGGAGCTGAGTAGAGCCCAAAAGCTTGGTTTATTTTTTTGGTTTCCAGCAGCCATGGGCAGGTGATAGTCGAGGCTATATCCACTTCCCTTATATGTGACGCATGTGTGAGCTTTTATAATGGCATTAAGGGGCTCGAGTGAAGTGAAAACACTGTTCAAATCGACCCACATGACCGGTGATAGTTGTTAGGCTATCTGTGTCAAAACAGGACAAGTAGACATTCAGTAAGTGCGGGTAAGTGGCTGTGTGCAAACAAAGAAAGGTTCGTTGTTCATCCGATCGATAAACTTCCTTCTTGTTTGCTGTTTGCAACTAAAGAAGGAAAACAAATTGTTAATCTTTTCTTCTTTTTTTTTTCTCCCCCCAAAACACCAATTCGCCCTTAAAACTGTTGCCACCGGTGTATCTAGGCTACATGCTCATCGTGGTCTGCACAATTTATTAGTTTGGAATTAGATCTTTAGGCTTGAAGATATTATAGGCTACACTTGTTAGGCGCAATAACCTTTATACACAAAGAAACATTTCAAAGAATAGGCCCACTGGTAGCCTATAATTATAGGACTACCGCCCAACATTTCAGGGGTCTGCTGGTTGGAAAAAAAAAGAAGCATTTATGTAGTCTAACGGGCACATCTACTACAAAGTTAACGGTTAGGAAATCACCTTACGTCCTCGTTTGAGTGTTTACGACATGGACAGACGCTTTACGTCAGTCGTAAAGCAATGGAGATGACAATACTGATGCGAGATAACTGAAGGCTGAAACGTTACTTTCCAGAATTTCGTCTCTCTGAAGGGTGTTGAATTCCGACACGGTGTGACATATTCTGTGTGCCAACCTCTTACGAGTTGACGTGTCTAAGCAGAGTATTTTATTAATACTCAAGTGTCCCTCTGGTGAGGCGAGACAGCGACGAGAGAGCCAGTGGAAGAAGAATCGCTTTTAGCCAGTCATTGCCATGGCCTCCGAAAGCGGCGACAGCAACATGGATAGAGAAATGATTCTGGCCGACTTTCAGGTTTGTTTGTCCCCGAGTATTGGATTCAGTTCTCTGTTTATCGTTGCTGAATTGTTTGGGGGGCTTGGTGTCAACAACCGTACACACACACACACACACACACACACACACACACACGGACCCAGACTGGCGTCGTAAACAACAGAGCTCTCAGTGGCTAGCACAGGAAGCTAACAAACAAAAACAGCTCGCTAACTGATTCTGAAGGTAATAGTTAGCCGCAGCGGCGTTAACTCAGATGACGTGCTGCCGGTTCCACCAGCTGAACGTAACCCCGTGTCTTGCGTTTGTATCACGTTTTCCTCGCTTGACATATAACGACAACATAGTTAGTTTTAAAATGAGAGCTGCGACGCTGTCAGCTTGTTTACACTGTTGTCGGGTCAGGGGGTTTTAAAAAACCATGAGGACCTACGTGTCCCTAAGAGACATCTTAAGGGTCATTAGTTTAAAATAAAGAAGAGCTGGCTTCGAAATCATGCTTTTCCTTTAAGCTGGCAGAAGTGTAGCTTTCTGTGTGGTTTGTCATTGTGTTTGTTGACGTCAATACTAAGATAATATAAAGCTGGTGTCTCTCAGTGTGTTTGTCTATATACTATATAATACGGGAAAATAAGCCTGAGCACTAACATTGGACAAGTTTCCTTCACTTCTAACTCACATGGTTTGGGTGAAAACAAACATGACATTATGTAATGCTATTACAGACTGTATGTTCAATTAAGCATTTCTGCCTCCTTTCATATTTTGCAAAGCTATTTTATAGGCCAGGTCTTTTTACGTTGCAGAACTATTCCCAATGTGTTTTGTCTCTGCTGTTTTATAGGAGAAACTAGCAACACACTTTAGTTTGTTTACTGCCATATCCTTAGAACAAGGCTTACATATGTCTGAGCTATTCATTATCTCCTCTTTGGAATTGGATTTTTTTATAGCTTCTTGAGATGGTTTTACACATTTAACATATCAGCCACTATATTTAATCATCAACTTGACAAAAGACATCAAGTGTTTTTGTGTTGTGGGGAGTTAAGTAAAGCATGTTGAAATAACAGATGTTGCGCATCTAGCAAAAAGTGAATCAAAATAAATGAGAACAGCAATGTCTTATAAGTCATAATAGCATTGATTGGTCAAAGTCAAATGATTTGTCCAACAGATATCTTGAAAAGCCAACATTTTAAAAATATCCCTTTCTCCTAGCTGTTATAAAAAACAAATGATACTTGCTAAACCTAGCAGTAGTATAAACAAATAAGCAAACATTAAAAACAAATAACAGACCACCGTTACCAGAGACAGATACCAGAGTCCAACAATTTCATAAATCATTTATATAGTAGCATGTGCTTAATATCTGTGTGTTAAATGACAATAGCCAGAGGTTCTCATGAATCTTTGTTTTCTTTATGTTGGTAGCTTCAGATAACATTACTTTCTAATTGAAACCTGAGCCTGTTTAGCTTGTCTTTTCTTTATTTTGTTGCAATTAATGTGAAGTAGTTTGTATGAAATGTTTAAAAATAATATGAAATAGAAGTCTTTGCAGTACAATAATTTTTTTTTGCGTATTTATTGAGAGCTGCCTTTCATTTCTTTGATATGATCTGTGGTGCATAACAACTTGAAATCAACAGATTCACAGTCCTTAATGTGAAGACAGCCAGCAAAGTGGTGCTTTCTTATTTATGATTCACTTTGTCCTGTTTTTCTCTCTCTCTCACAGGCTTGCACTGGAATTGACAACATTGCAGAAGCAATCACTCTGTTAGAGCTCAATAACTGGGATTTAGTGGTAAGTCCATTATGTATAGGCACTGGGCCTTGCTCTTTGACAGAAAGGACATCTAGTTCAAGAGGGCAGTTAACATCCCATAACAAGCACTGTGTAATTTTGTTTGAAAAATAAGTTTCTTAATTTCACCCTGAAGGATGTCATGTTAATTGGGTAGTGTCAACACCCCTGCCCAACAGAGAAAATGTGTTCTTAGGGTATTATAGGGTGAAGAGACACTGTAAGAGAGAATGTCTCTGTCAGCTTTTTATTAACTCATTATGAGTCAAAAGCAAGGAACTCTTTACCATGAAGTACATGTCAGAAGGGGTCAGTCTATATTTAGACTAATGCTGGCGGAAGATCAGAGCAGGCAGACAGATGGTGGGGCCTTGAATCACTGCACCTGTAAATCTGATGACTTGTAGTTTCTCTGCAAGAGCTGGTAGTTTTGTAAACATTGACAAACACTAATCTGTTTATGTATTTGTATAGTGAGCAATTGAAAGTAGGTCAAATAAAAAAACTTTTTTTTTTTTAAACATTTGCGACATGAATTATTCTTTCGTTCTTCTTCCTTTGATTGTAATGAGTTAGTGGATAGAAGTGGCTTCAGATTTAACTGCATAAAGCTTGAGGTTAAAATAGGCACACACTAAAAACATCCAAAACAGTCATCAAACCACTCCTGGAGTTTGATTTCATTATCCCTCTGGATCATCTTTTATATCTAATATAGTCAATATGCTCCAATTATTTTCTTAAGAACAAATTAATTGTTCCATGTTGTTAACCCTTCTCACTTCCTCATGTTCTTAAATTTGTAAAAACCCATCTCAGGCATTAATGCCAACAAACTACCAAACGGCTAAGTCCTAACTGTTTTCATTTATCTGTACTTATCTTCATGTGATACTGGTTACTTGTGTCTTGTTATAATTATTCCCGAGGACTACAGTCTCTTATACAGAAGGCAAGCTTTTACCACTTAAAGGCCTGTTTCCCCTCTAATAACAAACATAGAGGGTGTTTGATATTAGAGAGTGAAATTTGGGTCAACATCTATGCTATAGTATTCTGAAACAAAGAATAGATAACTTTTTGAAACTTGAAGCTCTTTATCCAAATGTTGTTTTAATCATACAGTCTATCCATCTCTCTCTCTCTCTCTCTCTCTCTCTCTCTCTTTATATATATATATATATGTACTGTATCATCAAAATTGAATTCAGCCATCATTAATCCTCTTTATTACCTTTTGTGATTTTCCATCTTGCTTCCACTTTAACTTCTGATCAATGGAATCAATGGGGCAGAAACTATCAACAAATCAAAAGGCCAGGCACACAAGTGGTGACAAGGGGTATGATTGTGGAAGTATCCGTCCATCATTGCCTTTCATAAAGGCCGACAAAGCTTTTAGTTTGCTTTTCAGTATCACTGGAATTTAAGTCCTTGTTATTTATTTTGATCCATTTCATACAGTATTCACATACTTCCATAAAAAAGGAAGAGTGCACAGATTTTACCAGCATATAACCACTGAGTTAATTTAACTTGTTTAGCTGAAAAGAATAATGAGCGTTCGAGTGCAGTCCAGTCAATTGTCCATTCACACAAAAGCACAGTGCCGACCGTGGATGCTGTGATGTTTGTCCTTTCAGCTTTCTGTGTTGCTGATCAGCCACAGCCTGTTTAAATTTCCCATCATTCTTTTTTGCACTTTAATAGGTTGGGCCTGAAACTCAACAAGCATATATCACACAAACATTTACTAACATAGACTGAGTATTCGATTACCTTTGCTGATAATTTCTACTTTAAAACTAAAAACTAAAAGTGTTGTTTTCATTTCAATCGATGCTTTGATTTCAGTTAGAAATATTCAATAAATAACCACAAAATATTTAATCAGATATACATTATTTTATTAGAAAAAATATCCCAGCTTTTATAGTTGAGCATATTTACAGTAGAGACCATGTCAGTGAACTATGAGGGCAAAAAACAAAAACGAAATAATCGTTCATTAATCATAATCGAGGTAAAATGTTCAATTAATCGTGATATTGATTTGAGGTACAATCACCCAGCCCTATGTTGTAATATCTCAAACTAAAACAGGAAAATGAGATGATAATGTGTTGTATGACATCTTTCCACTTAAATTACAGGCAGCCATCAATGGAGTGATACCACAGGAGAACGGGATCTTACAAAGGTAATTACTATGTCGCCTTGTGTTTACTGTAAACTAGAGAAAGTATGTCAGGTGACCTTACAACACTGCACAAATGTTACCAGAGATTATGCACAATGTATGACTTTGTAATACATTGGGTTTTTTTTCTGTTTCCATGCTATAATGATAATGTAGTATGAGACAGGGCAAAGCAATCTGAATGGTTGGGGTGCAAGCATCTACAGGCACAAATGCAAGTAAAGCAACTGTTAAACACTGCAGGAAATGTGAAACTGTAGCCTGATTGTGTTAGCAGGAAATTGAACTCCTCACCTCAGTGATGATCAGGCAATGTAACCTCACAGATTCAGAGTCTGTCGTCATGTTTCCAAGATCCGAGGTTTTTTACCTCGATTGCAGGGCATACTGATGAAAGTACTTTTCCTGTATAACCTGCTTCCTCTGAGAAATACATGTAGAAGATAGATCTGAAAGTGAGCCTTGTTATAGACATTATATACAGTACACACATTTCCACTTAATGGTTATACATGTGTAACAGAGTTGAAGGTTATTGCTGGTGTTGTAGTTTGATAAATTATATAAAAGACACTGCAACTGCAAGGATCTTTCAGCAACCAGTCGAGTTGAAACAGTTTCTGAGTGGAAAAGGTTTTTTTAAGGGGCTCTGAAGCGCTTCACTTTCGTTCAACGGTTAGTTGACACTCATGAATGCATTGAGCTGATCAGAACCCGCTCAAACTGGAGAGACATTCTGTTTTCACTGATTTATTTTGTTTGCATACTTGTGTGTGCTTGTGCACTGGCAAGCATTTAGTTTAATGTGGTTTAGGCTTTTGGGCCATGAGAATATTGCTGGTGTTTCTCAAGGGCACACATTGCTGTGAATGGAGGCTGGCTGGCAGTGTGTCTAGCAGCCAACACATTTACTAAGTGGCTGGCACGGTTGTGAGTAGGCTGAGGTTGGCCGGTAAACAGACTCTAATGACGTGACATGATCTGGAGCCAGTTGGAGGCTACTCCAACGCTGCTGCTTCCAATCTATTGCTCTTGTGTCCTCTTTAGTAAGCACAGGTTGGGAATTTTAAAACGCTTCACTTGTTCATCAGTAAGCAGAAATCCTTGGGTATTTTCTTGTTGGACTTGATAAAAATGGTCAGTCCTCACACTGATCTGACAGATTGTTAGTTGGTGAAGGTCTTAACAGTTTAGTCTGCTCTGGGAAACCTCACAGAGAAACAGTGCCATCTATATGTAGGGCAGCATTGGAGTAATCCCCAAACGGCAACAACGGACAATTTAACGGTCTTCAGTGTAGTTGTGCCAACTTTGGGTGAAACTGCTCTCATTTGCTGTTAGAGCTAACCCTTAAAGTCCCAAAACTCCTCTTGGCAAGATCATTCTTTTTTTTTTTGAGTGAAATATTTTTGATGCTTTATATGTATTGTTTATCTTGTTTTTATCTACCTCTTCCCCCATAACACTGGTGACAGGGTAGTGCCTGGTTCACCATAGTGTCAGTTTTATTTAGTTCTTATTTCTTTCTTAATGGCTCAAATCAAGTGTTTGACTTGACTATGCTTCACTTTTTCCTTTTTCAGAATTTGTATTTTCACAACTTCTATCTTACTTTTACCAACTATTCCAAATCCTGACCTCAGATGGTTTTCATACGCTTTCATCTGACTAAGAAATATTAATTTGTCATGTCAGCTCCATCAACTAGGGGACAAAGAGATAAATACCTTTTCTGTGTGATACACACACAACGATTACAGTGATCGGTCCGGTTTGTTTGTGGATATTTTGTGGTTGTTGACGGCCAACCTTCGCCTCAGGACGAACCTGGCCCCTCCAATAAATATATGGGGCCAAATAAAATAAAGCCTTTGTTAAAAAGCACACTCTCTGGTGCTGGCGCAAGAGTCTGGCACACTCTCTCGTGAGTCAGTTGCCACATACACTTCAAGGTACAAAGGGCACACTTTGTTCATGGTCAGGACACAAAGACATTGTTTACAATGTTGCGTTAAACATCGGTAACACTGAGGATCCAGCGAAGAAAATAGCTAGATAGAGAATTATGAATATTGTAAGGCAGGACACAGAAGGAAAAGACATTGGTTTGTTTAGTTTATTGTCTTGCCATCACTTCTTTTTTGTTCTTGTAACAGAGTTAAGACAAGTTTAATGTGGTCACAAATGTAAGCCTATCCTATGCTTTGTCTCCTGTCCATAATGATGATCAAAAACCTTGAGACTTTTAAGATTTTATATGAAAACTCAGCTATCTTCCACACCTTCCCTAATCGTTTTGCCACTGTGCAGTAACTTTTCCAATGAGGCGAGCCAGGCCAGCATGTACGGGCCTCCTAGCCAATCAGAAGCAGCCGATGCAGCAGCAGGAGGCTCCATTCCTCCTCCCTCCTCTTCGTCTTCGTCCTCCTCTCCTCCGTCGTCCTCCACTTCAGCTTTTTGTCCCAGCAACTCTTCCAGCCGACACATTGTAGAGCGCCAGCCCCGGATGCTCAACTTCAGGGTGGAGTACCGGCAGCGCTCTGTCGAACTGGTACTGGAGGAGGGTAGCACAGTCGGTGAGCACCATAAACAATGCCATAAGACACTGTGTATGATACTTAACATATATCACATTTCCACTTTTTGTACATGAGCTAATTTTTTCCATCCTCTTTGTACATTTTATTTATAGGAGAGATCAAACAACTCCTCGAGACAGAGCTTGGGGTCCCAGTGTCCAAAATGCAGCTGAAAGGATGGAAGAGTGGAGATGTATCAGAAAGTGTGAGTTTCTAAATGTTTCTAATGTGAAAACGAGAAACTAGTGATTTCAGCTAAACCTGAAAACTTAAATATCTTTAAAACATTTAATCTTCATTTATTCTAACATTAACCATGTACAATTTGTCATGTGTCTGCCTATATTTCTGTGGAATATAGATCACATTCTTTGACACATAAGAACATACAACATTACAATTATAACACTAGTACTCAAATATCCTATCACACAATGAGCCTTTCTTAAACCACTCCCTATGTCTCCTCCGTAAACACTGCGCGCTGGTGTGTAGGGTCCGCCACACTCCGTCCTGTCCAAAATCTCTTAGTGTGGAGTGGGAGCGGATTGTTAAACCCTCCACGAGAGTCTACAACGATGCTGGCTTACTGAACTGGTGTCGGGGCAGGTGCTCCGTTCATAAAAGTTTGGGGTTATCAGTGGCACAAACTTAAACACCTTAAGAGAAGATAAAAATAGTATCTTTAAGATTAGAAATCAAGAAGTTAACATTGCATACAGGATGTTATTAACAATTGTCTAGTCTTTAAAATTGAACATGTGTTCATTTGACTGTCATATGTTTATGTTTACATGGTTTTATGTGTACAAAAACGAATCATCTTGTAGACATCAGATTGAAACAATAAGGTGTCTTTAGTCTGCCTAACATTGTTTATGTGGATAGTTATTGTTTGAGTGACATCAAATCACGGTTTTATTAAGGTCCTGTTTCAAATACAGCCCCAAAAGCTAGCGGCTTTATTTCTTTCTTTCACCTTAACCAAAGGTACTTCATTCAGCTGTGGGCATGACATCAGACTGAGATTACTCCGTGCCGTGGTGTGAGTGTGGAGGGACGCCCAATGACAGAGTAGAATCAAATAGCTAGTGGTGCAACGGATCACAAATCTCATGGTGTGGATCGGGTCATTTTACAGAGGCTCAAAACAAAGAAGATATTTATTAAAATATCCTCTCTTCTCATTTAGACTCAAACTAGTGTTGAGCAAGTAATCTAGTTGCAATTTCAAATGGCTCACAGATCAACTCTCATCTGTTGCACCTCTATTCACGGGCTTCCTCATGTTCCTGAGTTTAAGACATCATCACAAACGTAAACCTTCAAGCAGGTATTCTTCATCATCCACAATCAGTAAAATGTTTCTAAGAATTATAGTCCTTAAGCACAGTCATGTTCTAACAAAAGAGTAAACATTCACATGTATGCACAAACATATTCCCTCAACAAATAATTATCTTCATGGCTATTCATTAACTTTAGTGAGTGACACTATTGAAGTTCTGTGTGTTTTTGTTTGTGTAATCAGACCGTGCTGAGAAGTTTACACCTGCCCAAGAACAACAGCCTCTACGTCCTGACCCCAGAAATTGCCGCTACGGCCAGCACCAGCAATAACAGGTATTCATTTCACATTTAAAACTCTCTTTTTCACCTATTTATATGTAATCTCAGGATGCATCCTCCTCTGCCTTAAGGTTTTTGGTATTGAAATGAGTGTAGTACCTAATAATGAACACTAGGTGGCAGTCTGTGTCCAGTTATGAAGAAGATGCATCCTAATACAGCCAGCAAATATCATTTTCTTTGGAATATTAGAGACATTCGACCTGCCAGTGCACATTTATTTTCTCATCCACTGTGACATTTTGAGGAAAACGTCGACTGCTGCAATCTCTGTGTTGTGTAAATAATAATCTTCTCCTTTCTCTAAAAGCCGGCTATTGTTGTTGAAGGTTATTATGCATCTTGCATAAGCTGCGTATATGATATTGACAATTATTCAGCAGAGCTTTTCATGACTGAAAAATGAGGCTGAAGTTGTACCTTTCTTAATCTGTGTGCACAAACATGCACATGGTTTAACCAAACACTTTTTACATGCAACCCATTTTAGAATGTTTTATAGTTTTAAAATAGAAGGAAGGACATTCTCACATTTAATGCTGTTTCCAAAAATAGTACACATGTGCCCTGTTCAAAATTAAATTAACAACATCAAAGCTAATGTTAGGATTTAGCTAAACTTAGTACATCAAAATTAAAATATGTTTTTAAAAATAAATGAAAATGTCTTGAAATTGACTTTATTTTTGTAAAGGGAAACGTATCTATTTAAATAAGAACTGTCTGGTTTTTCATGCACATGGTAATTTGAGGATGCCAATAAAAAACACAGGTAGAAGGTAGTTTGCTTCGCCTTAACTGTACTCTCACCTTGAATATGAGTTAGGCAGATTTTAATCCAATAGGAGGGATTCACTTTCTAGATAATTGCGCTTGGAGCTTGTAAATCAGTCCACTATAGATATGAGCTGTGGACCGAATCCTGACTGTATAATTATGAACTTAGTTATTTGTATCTACCTCAGTGAGAGGTCTTTGTGGAAATAACACGTTTTTACCCTGTTTTTATTAGTTTCTTATGAATATGTATTCTTCTACAATACTTCGGCATGTTGGAGCTTTTATAATCACAGGCTACAAAGCTGTAACCACGACGAGAGGGCGCTGAGTATGAAATAAATAATAATTGAACATAGGCCTATTACTCGGATGTGCCGCAGATTGACAGAGAGACAGAGAGCATTTTGTGTAAATGTGGATGGCAAATCTTGAGAGTACTGTTTTTGTTTTGTTGTTGCTCTGTATAACTCTTAGGTGTATCAGTGAAGTGTATGAAATCCACTGAAGTCTGCAGAGACAAACAGTGGCAGCTGTCTCATATGAACAGGTCAAACATGCATTCAGAGATCCATGTAGTATTTTTAAATGTAAATGTTCAAAAATTATTGTCAGGGACAATTCAGTGGTAGCTTGACATTGGTAGAGACAAGTCAACAACATCCTACCCTAAAAGCTGCTATAGCGAAAAACGTTTCACTTCTTCCTCTCTTGGCACTTTTCTTCCAATTCGGCAGGTTTGGCAGCAGCTTTTCTGGTGCACTGGACTAAATATGAAACAGTGTGCCACAACATCGGCGTAGTGCTGTTATTGTTGTTAGAAATGATAAATTCACCAAATGCTGTCCTTGGTAAACGGTGGTCTTAATGAAAACACATCAGACTCTGACAAGGGCCCGGGTCAGTCGCCTCACAGTATTATTATACCTATTTGTTCCCATTTTCCAATACACACCAGCCTCACACATAAGGGATGGTACCCACTGACAAGGAGGTGTGTTGAAAAAGCTGCATTAAGCCAGTGTTCTCCACCTGGAGGTTGTCCTCGTCATTTCTGTGAATCCGTGGCAGTATTAGCAAACCTTTCTCTCTAAATGTCAGGCAGCTCTTGGAAAATCAAAGAGGTAATACAATCACAGGTGGCAGCTCAACATACAATTGTCCTTTCATCAGTGTCTGGTAAACAATGTCCTTCCAAGTAATATTTCTCTCTTCATTACACCTCTGTGGTGGAGGATGACCATGACCCGTCTTATTTTTAATTAAAGGATGAGAGCATCATGCTGGTATGCGAATACGTGCCTGTAAGAAATATATTTCATAGGTTTAGATATTTTTCTTAAATATATATTACTGTACTGTATGTGTGTTTTCTGGTTTCCATTGTTCTTTGTGTGGATTGCAGACATATTGAGTTCATTTGAGGGAGATGAGAGCGCACAGTGCTGCTTCTGTGGTTCTGAAAAGTTTGGCACATGATTAGATGCCTGTTTTTTTCATCATCAGACTCACTTTAAGTACTGATTCGGATAAGGTCTCATCATAGAGTCTATGCTAACCAAAAAATAACAAACGGGTCAAAAATTATTTCTGTCTTTCTTGATACAGGCATATTGTGAAGCAGAGCATAATGATTACTACCAACCTTTAAAATTAATACGTCAACGGGGGATGTAAAGTTTTCTTCAATTTTACAAAAAACAATAGACATTTTTTTTGTTATAATGGTTTTCAAAAAGACAGCTTTCAGTTTAAATGCTAAATTGATCAAATATATTTTTTTAATCTTTCTTTTTAGGAATATTCTCATATACACTAAAGACACTCTGAGATATCTTTGTTTAACACACTGTCTGATGTTATAAAAAGATATCATTGGATCAATATGATAGGACACAGGATCTGTTGAAAATATTCAGCGGCAGTCTTCTCTCATACATTGTCTTTATCAGTCAGAGTTGTTTGTACAGTAGCCTCACAAAGGCCTTAGTTTGTTTGTAAACAGAAATTGTACTGTTACTTTCCGCACACTTCCTCATGTTAGAAGCCAAGCAAGCATCCACATGTCACCACAACACTTGTAAAAGAAGTCATTTGGCAGTTTGCCGCATTGCCTACTAGTTAGGCTAAGTGGTAGTTATATTGTGTTGGCAGCTAATGGCCCTCATCTCCCCAGTCATCCCTCCCTCGCTCCCTCTTCTCTGTTGCTCGTCTTCTCACTCCCCCACCAACTGCTGTGTCTTTTTAGCAGCACCGTTGCCATTTCTCCAAGTGTTATCGATATCATTTTGGGTGTCAGGAGCTCATTATTCTGTGTCAGCTATTTTGGTGGAGGACAGTTGGGGCTGAATGGAGTGTGTGGCCTTCTGTGTGTATGCACATGCATTTGTGTATACATTTGTGTGTGTGTATGGTGACCCTGTTGTCATATTGGGAGAGGATAGGTGACAGATCACAGAGAACGAGGGGGAGCAGTCCCCTGTAGCGGGACCAGACAAGCTGTTAGTATGCAAAAATAAACTGCGGTCACACCAAAAAAAAAAAGACAGTACGTGCCGTTTATGTTCAGTGTGTGCAAATTTGTTTCACACACTAGGCAAAGCTCTGTCGAGTAAAAAGTCCCTAAACCTAATGTGGACTGCTGGTGAAAAATACAATATCGTCAACTAACCAATTTGATCACCCAGTTAAAGTGAACTTATCGTGTCTGCTTACACTACGGAGTATTTAACTTTTGTTTACAACTAAATTGTTGTTCTTAATGCAAAAGCCCCAAAACACAACAGTAACTTTATTGTTTTTAAGCAACTTGCTTTTGTGTTATTGATTAACTTCTACCTCAATCTTCTGTTCCTTGTCAAGTCGCACATATTGTCTGTATCTGTTAACTCTTTATTATAAGAATTAAGAATAAATATTGCCTCATTGTATATGGGGGCACAGCTCTTATTGTTTGTAAGGCTGGCAAACTGGACTTGACCAAATCATTTGAATGCATCTTCCCAACAGATTGCTTTCCATGCCTGTGCTCTCTAAATTTGATCAGTGCACTTAGACTCTCATATGGATCTGGTAATTTAACTAGATTGCTAAAGACAGGGAAGTTTTTACCCTGAAACACGTTTGTCGTCACCTTTAACAAGTCAAACACACTGTCAAACTTCATACAGGTCTGAACCTATTTCCTGTTTTTTGAGTCCTTAAATCAAGTTTCAGGCTCATCATAGTTTATCCTATAAAACCTACCTCTTTACTTATAAATTACAAGGGAGAAATATTACAGTTAGTGACTTTTGATTAATTATGGAATGTTTTCCCTGCTTAGCCTTCTTTTCCTCTACAGGGGATACACAGTGCTCTCTCTAAAGCTAAAATTCATGCAGTTAATATTTTTTTAAGGTAAAAGGTTGATGACTTTTAAAAATGAAAGATCTGTCATATTCTTCCAAGTTGAGTTTGTTCACACTTAATCGAATTGATTCTTACATGTTTTATGTATTTCCCTTGCCCAATATTGAGACTGCACCACTGGCAAACTGCTGCTTTTATGAAAAGTAGGGATACAAACATGATAAAAAATCATATTCAGCTGTCACACAGATTTAATTCACTCAAAATTGGGAGGCTTCATTGTTTAGTCTTGAGTTTCAAAGTAGATAAAAAAGTAAATACACTTCTCTAATTAACATTACACTTGAATTGTTTTGCTTTTTGAGGAGTTGTATATTTCAATGAAGGTCACTCCTGTAAATTAGAAAACAAAGACAAAAATGCATGACATGATAAACTCACATATAAACATACTAAGTGAGAGTTAATTCATATTGTGTTTAATCTTTATTACAGTGCACAGAGCCGTGTTAGAGCCACATTTGCCTATGTTTTAGATTCTAGAACTGAAAAGCCACCATATGTAATTCTGTGTTACGTAATGAAATGCTGGTTTTTATCTAAAGCACAAAGGATGTCTTGGCTTGACTAATATTTTCAGATGAAATGGTTATCTTAAAATAAACATCTTGAATGCGGCAATGAATGTTTCCTAAATATGCAATTGCCAGTCAGAAAACCGCAATTCAATTTTACAAAGTTTTGTTTGCTCCAAACTCTTGCTGAGTAAAAATGCAAATGTCACATAAATGGTAATATCCTTGGCAATTACTTTGTCGAGCTTGGCTCATGCTGCAGCACACACACACCGAAACCAAACGGACTGATTAAACAGTGCTGCAGTGTCATTATGATCCCACTGAGTAAACTCCTCTTAGTTGTCATGTTTGATTAGAAATAAATCTTGAGGCTTTGGGAGATTTTCCTTTGAGCACCAATCCATCTCAGGTAGATATTTAGTTAGTGATGTGATGTGCAGTGAGTACTCCAGTGTTAAAGCCTGCTATGAAGAAGGTTTCTCTCTGTGGCCATGTTGATGACTGCCTGTGAATACAAGAGGCTGTTGAGGAGGAGCTAATCTCTTGCATAAATGATGAAGGCCTGATGAATATTTCAATGGAGCCTGTTCCCTGGTTCGTTTACTCTGCGCTCAGCTCTCAGGAAGCATGTTTGCTAACGAAAGGTTATTTTAATTTGAACTCTGAAGGAAATTAGAAAATTGCAAAAATGATTCATTAGATTTTGTGTATTTTTATATTGCACCCCCCCCCTCCCCCTCTGAGTGCCAGCTAGCCAGCAGCTGATTCACAGATGCTTTAGGATGACAGATAGCTAGCTAGTTAGCTAAAGAAGCCATTATTGGAAGCATCTAACAGTTAGCATGCTGATTAACTTTTGGACAAGATGGCAGACCAAAACAGAGCAGAACGGTTTCGCATCCTCCTGCTTTGTTGTGGATGCAAAATGTGGAGGAGGTAAGAAGACCTTGTGTGTACCTCATGACCTCTTCTATTCCTACAGAAGGTCTATTGGTCAGCCTGCATGTACTCCCTGTCAGTGTGATTTGATGTGCTAATGTGTCTCTAAGCAGTTAAAATATAGGCATAATGTGTGTGATTGTTTGTAAGTGGAGTAAAAACTATGTGTGTATGGGTATTTGTGTTTTGCAGGCACATGTCACATTGTGTGTGTGTGTGTGTGTGTGTGTGTGTGTGTGTCTCTGGCAGTGCTAGTTTAATAAGGTCTATAGTCTGCTCTGTGCCGCAGGGACTCGCAGCTTAGGCGATGGGCTTACCCCAGAATGAAACCAATCTGTTTAGCCTGCTCTTCTCCCCTGCAAAACGCTCCATTTTTCCTGTCCTTAAAGTTAAATGACATTTTCCTCCCTGCACCCTTATGCCATGTCAAGTACCTCGAGAGATATTTCGGGCCGACCTGGATGTCACGAATGTGTGTGTTGAGCGAGTAAGAGACCTCTGAAGGCAGAAGCAAACACTGAGACACCCACATCTCAACCTTATACTGCTCGAGGGACCTGCTTCTATCATCCACTTTCAAAACATCAATGGTGAAAGCGGTCGAGCCAGAGGGATATTAGACTTGAAACAAGGGTGTTTTGTTTATATATCAACCAGCCGGCCTCATCGAACAGATGGGAAATGACAAGGAAATGACTCATTATGAATGGCAGGTTTATTTCCCCTGTGACTCCATTTGATATTTTGAGTAGCTATATTTGTACTGTAGAGCACAACGAATGGTCTGATTTTTCAAAGTAAATCTTGAGCAGAATTCCGCCAACACACACACCAAATGGCTCATCGGTCTGCCATCAATGACTGATAAGATGTTCCTTCTTTGCTTGGAAGGACAGAGTAACACTTCCACTCAGTTAACCCTCTATCTTTGTCTATTTAGGAGTCTAGCTGCCTGCCAGCAGTAGCTCGGGACTGTGTCCAAACATAATCACGATATTAGCTAGATCCTTATTTATGTGTCCCTACCCCTTCCATTTATTCTCTCTCTCGTTTTCTCTCTCTCACTCTACCTCTAACACACACACATGCAAACACATCTCTCTCCTCCTTCTGCTCAGCCCTATTATGTATGCATCCTTCCTTCCTACTCCACACATTTCCAATCTTCCCCAGTTAGCTACAACAAACATTACATTTACATATTGATTTCGTAGTTTTAGTAAATGTAAATATGCTGTCATTACAGTAAATTTGAGCTTCTGTTAACATAAGCTCGTCCAGATCTGCACAGATTAAGGGTGTGATTGCATAATTAATGTGTGCGCTACATATTAATTCCCCCATCCCTCTTTTTCCCTCAACTCTTCCTGCTCTCCTTGGGTTCTGAGCCCTGATTAAGTGCCTGCTTCGGCCCTTAAGCCTCCCATTGATATTCAGCCTCACATACCCAGCATTTGCTCAAAACGCTACTTAACCTCACAGCTTATTGTAAATGAAGCTTCCAAAAGTTGATTCCCCCACCTCCTTCTCTACGTGAAGCACACAAAATGTCTGCGTTTGCATTGTTTGCAGCATCTCTGTCCCCGCTGTGAGCTAGTGAGTGAGCTGTGGTGCAGGTCCAGAAAGTCATACCCTTCACTTAAGGGCCTCTTCAACATGTTGTGTTTTCACTGCCAGGTCACAATGTCATCAGCACATGACATCCTCTGAGAAAGTGCAAAAATATCAAACAAGTGCTGTCATCTGTGATTCATGTGAAAGCTTAGATAGAAGAATATGAAATAAATAACATTTTGAACAGGTTGCTACAACCAAATGGATTGTTGGCATTGTTAGTTATCAAATTATTGAAATATCATGTTGTTAATTTGATGTATTCTCTGTTCTGTTAAGTCAGATTTTGCCAGTATTTTTAACATTTGCTCTGCATGTTGTTTAGTAATTCTATGAATTTAAATTAAAATGGAAGAATATATTTCACTGTAGTAGCATTTCATAGTCATCAATAATTCACACGATTTTAGTCTATATATACTGATATGAATTATAAAAGATCTGGTTATAATCAGTAAACAGTCATCATGTTTCAGTTGATGGGAATTGACAGTGAAGAAGACAAATAGATCAGTAATCCAGCAGCATCTGCTAAAGAGGAAGTGTATCATGATGCTAAAAAAATGTCTCTTTATTGTTTTCCTTTTTGGCTGAATGATACAAATAGTCAAAGTTCATTTCCCTTTGGTATAACATGTCCAATAAAACTAACAGATTTTTAAATACCTGTAGCAGGTATTGAGTTGTGCCAACCAAACCCGGCATACAGTCGGCTTATGCTACTGTTTATCAAAGCAAAATCTTGCTTTTCACAAATCTTGGGGTTTGTTGTTAAGAAGGTGATGAAAGCCCTCCTGGGTTTATTTCGTAATAGCTGGCAGGTTTGTTAGCAATAAGCCAGATTAATGGGCGCCATGCTGTTTCTGTGCAGGTGGTCATAGCTGTGGTAGCCTGCTGTGCTGGGCGCAGCTTCGACCAGGCTTGTTAAGACAAAACCAGTGAAGTGGACGACTATCCCCTGGAGAAGGCACCCACCTCCCCGTGGGCCAACAGGCTACCACTAGTTGACAAGTTTGAGCTTGCCCTGTACTCGACTGAGTGGCTCTTAGTGTTAATGTTTGTTTTTTCTGCACCACCATATTTTATTCATCTTGCTTCTTTATTCTTCCTACCTTCTTCTACATGTTAAGTTTCCATTTAACCCTAATGCTTAATGCTCAATCTGTTTTTCTTCTCTGGTTTAGTGCGCTCCAGGAGTCATTAAACCAGAACTTCCTGCTGGTCATCAGCCACCGCGAGGCGCAGAGGGACTACAATCTCAATTTCCCCGGCTCCAGAACCATACAGGAGGTAAGACACCAACATGTATGTAGACACACAGACCATACAGAACATCAGGGTGTCACTTCATATGCCTAGAGCAATACAAAAGCTCTCAGATTCTCTCCCACATATTCTCACATTAAGAATATTATTCTACCTGATTTACTAGACTCCCATAACGCAGCTTTCATTCCATTAGCCAAACATCGCTAGTCTATCTCAGCCATCGTTTCATTATTCATCACAAATGATCACATTTCCGAGCACATAATTACTCTCGCAGCTGCGGTCTGTTACAACCCCCTCTTTTTCTCCCAACTACCCCTACTCAGCTTTTTTCCCTCTCTCGCTCTCTCTCTCTCGTCAGTTTAAATACTGAACCTTGTTTGATTTCAGCATGCAAGAGCAATTGGAAGAGACAGAGTCCATTCAATTTCAACCTCTCAAACAGTTGATTTGGCAGCCTATCAATAATTTATAGTCAGGCAGTACGCCTTTCTGACCATCTTTTTTTATTTTAACTGCTGCAAAAGGATTAATGATTGAAAAGCATGAAAATGTGTTTTCTTGCTTGCCTATGTAGACGAGCAAGTTTGTGTGTCTGTGTCAATGTTTGGCCACACACACATACAGACACATGTGCACACATATTGCTGCTCTTTATCTTCCTGCTCTACCCCCTTTGCAGAGGGAGACCTGAGCAGGTGGCATTCTTTATTCAGAGTGGATATCCTGCTGTCACAGGTGAGGGGCAATAAGCTCCCCAAAGACAGATAAGGTAAAATAGAGCAGTCCCATTATTGATTTTGCCTCGCATATAAAGGAAGTGTTCATCTTTTGTACTCAGTATATGGGATTGGAAATATGAATCTTTAGGTGTTTCATTTCCCTTGAGCTCATTGTTAATTTTAATTTTTTTGGGTTGCTTTTTTTTTTGTTTTGGTATGTTTTACAGCCAGCTAATTCTCTACTCTGAGGCAGCAGTGAGAGGTGTTCCATATAAAGTCTTTGCTCACTGCAGTTCAGGCCTTGCTCTTCAGTGCGGTGAAGATTACACTAATAATTGTCAAACTACTAGCAGCACTTGTAATGATGCTAATTGAACAGATTAGTACATCCAACGTCTGAACTGGAAGGAGGCAGCTTGCCTCCGTGGTTTTCTCCCTCTCCAACCACACTCTTTCCATTTTCTCCTCCCTCCGTCATCTCTCCCTCTCTCTTTTTTTTTTTTTCTCTCACCCTCTTCTCAGGCAGATGGTTTTGATGAGCACCCACTGTGAACCTTAAGTGTTTCTGGTGGGATTACAAACGCTCGGGAGGGTTCCCGACAGTGTGTGAGGGGGGGAGACCATGGACACAGAAAAGAGGCAAAGGACTGCTGGTTTGGTTTGGTGGGGGTGCTGTGTGAGGCCATAGGGGAAAGAGAAAGGACAATGTGGGCTTAAACAGGCCTCCATGTCGCGTTCTTTTCCTTACGCATGCTTGTCTTTGGGCATCTCAAGGCCCCCTATGGTGAAAATGAGGCCCAGAACTTTAACCTGCATAGATGAAGTGCTGTTTGCCTAATGTTGACCATGCTCTTTATTTTACTCTACCCTTCAACCAGGGGGGCTGGCGTCTTTCCTTTAACCCTTATTACTGTAATGTGTTCGGAAATAAGATATCATTAAACCTCATGCACATACTATGTAGGTTATGTTTCAGAAGGTTTAGAACCATATTTTAGAGCTTCAAGTTAAAAACAGTCAGGAGGCCAAATAGTAGCTTGAGTGGCATCAACACAGTTTTTGTTGAGATCTGTGGTGCTCAGAGTAAAGTAGATGAGTTAAAGTGAAAAGTATATCAACTAATAAAGGGGGTTGAATTTCTGTCATCATGATCACAATAAGACTAACGATGCAACAAAGAAGTAACACCATATTCAGCCAGCCGGACTCCCCATTCTGCTCATACTGTTTCCACTAGAAACACATATGGCCTCCACTCCAGAGCACCCTTCTTTTCCCATTCTCCCTTTTGTCTTTGCTGAAGACTAGCTGATGGTCCCTGCTTGTGAATATCAATAGGGATAGAGTCCTGTCTTCTTGTTTGTCTTTGCCAAAGGCTCTGGCTTTGCCTTGTGGCTCTCAGGGAACTACCCTTGCCCCTCCCTTTCTATTCCTTCATTCTCCATCTCCTTCTCCCAGTGTCCTGTTTCTACCTTCTTTCTTCTACATCTCTAGAGCGCTGCGATGTGTAGACTCTGATTGGCATTACCAGACAAGAGTGTGGGGGTAAGTTGCTGGCTAGCTTCTGAGCTAAGCTGGAGAGCAAATGTTTGCCAGGGACGTAGAGGGTAGAATAGGGATGGCTGCTGGTTTTGGGTTGTCCGTGACCAGACCAGTTGTCCTGGGGATTTCCCACCTCTTCTGCCCCCCCACCCCCAACCCCAGGGCTGGGCCTGGGCCCCATCCCCGTCTCCGCAGCTGGGAGTCATATAGGAACCAAATGTGGACAGGGCTACAGAGCTGAGAAAAGGATCGAGGTTGGATCGAAAAAGGAATAAAAAGAGAGGCATCTGGTGCTAGGAGATGAAGAAAGAGAGCGAGAGAGAGAGAGCTTGTGACTGTTTAACGGAAACCTTTCATTTTCTTTGATTTGCTTCCAGCCAGGGATTACAGGCAATTGGCATTTACAATGATTGGATCATTAAATTTGCCGTATCGCCCAGCAGCTCAGCACAACAACCAGTCAAGCTAATGTTGTCTATAACTGGCTCGAACACAACTGCAACTTCTCAGCATGAACATAAACACACACATCAGCATTTCTACGTATTAAGACTTTGATTTATAATCTTGTTCTGTTTTCTTTCAAACAGTTCCCTTTACATTTTCTATTCTGTACATAGAAAGTCAGGCTGATGGATACACATCAACAGCCACTGGAGTTTTTCAGCACAGGCGCCGTGTTCTGCTTCTTAATGCACAATGTAATATAGTTACACTTTAGCATTACTCCAGTGCTGAGGTCAAACCAATTTTATCTGGTTGATGAAAGTAAAATATGCACCTCAAAGTTGTCGTTTCAACATAACTGTTTTCATTTGTTCCAGTCAAACGTATCTGTAGACTTGCTGTTGTGGCAGACAGGGGGCAGCATTACACAGTATTGCTCCCTCTGTGATGTCTCTTGTGGCCAACACATGCAATGCTTTGTAACTGTGGGCTTCAACAAAAACTTCAGCTGGCTGTAGAGGCTGGAGCAACCCTTCTGTTTTTTTGGAAGCCCTTGCTTTATTATCTAAATTCGGTTTAGTATGGTTGCATCAGATCCCATTATAACGCCATACTTTTCATATGGTCAGAGAAGGAGTGTGAATCCCTGCCTGAAGAGTCTTGTGGTGTAGTTTCAGGTGGGCAGGTCTGCTGTGTTGCTGTGTGTTCTTTCTGTGGTTAGATCAGGTTGTCCTTTGCCAGGTGCCTCTCACTGTCTGTCTCCTCTCTCCTTCTCCTCCTCCTCCTCCACCTCTCACCTTCATTCTCTCTGTGGTGGGTGTCAGTTTGTTGTTTCTCTGATGCTGCTTTAACCTCTGACTGCAGCCTCTTCATTACTAGTGTTTATACCTCTTCTTTCCTCCCTTTTCCCCTCTATTCATCGGCTGGCCAGCCGGTCAGTCAAATCCCTGTAGTCCGGCTGGTCAAACATAGATATTACACTCTGTAATAACACTGGCCACCCGCTCTGACCCCAGGCTTCTATCCTGGCCATAGCTTCTCATCATAAGGATAGGCGCCGAGCAGTGTGCTGTGGGATTTCCGAAAGAAAGACAAAGGATGGACTGTGCCACTCGTTTATTATTGTTCTTTTTTTTTTCTCAGCTTGTTTGTACTGCAAATTGCTTTGGTGTGCCAGGCCCAGCACAAATAAAATATAATTTCTTTGAGCGATTTCTGACGTAGAGTATTTACTGTTGCTTTGGAAAAGGGATGAAATCATATTTGAATATAATAATTTGAGCCTTTTGTGCTTGTGCATTAAGACCCCCACGCAAGTACATACAGATGCAAAGCATTATATTATCAGAATACTTCAATGAAAGTTCTCCTGCAATCTTCTTGGTCCATTGTTTTGTAGCTGCTCTCCTGCTTTGCCTGACATTGGATTTGACTTTGTGTTTGTAGCTTTCTTTAAGTTTCCACCTCCATGACCAGCAGCCCTGCATAGGATCCATCTCACTTCAATGCTTTTTACAAAGACAGGATCAACTGTGTGTGGGTGGACTTTTGCTCGACAATTGAAAGTTTTTTCAGCATCAGTGTCGAGGCCCCAGGCCTGCAGAGCAGGATTCTGCTAAACAAATGCACCAGAATCCCCGGCCGCCAGCGTTCAGACGCCGACGGCCTTTGATCACCTTCAGCTGGCGCACATCAGGCTGGCGTTAGGGCTTTAAACCAACAACCCACTGGACGGTGTAACGCCGGCGCTCAGCAAGACAGACGATGCTGGCTGCTAACTGTATAAAAGCAAGGAATGTTATTAAGTGATGCAGATACAGCGTCTGCGCATGAATGGGAAAAGAGAAATACTGTTCATTTCAGAGTGTTGGGCTGTTGTTGCTGGGCATTAGCTGTGGCATCTGAAGAATGCTGATAACACTGGCTGTCTTTTTTGATTTTTTTTCTGCTCTCTCCTCTTGGAACATCTCCTTCCTTCTTTGCCTCAAGCCTACTTCAATGTTTTATTTGTCATACTGATGAATGTAGCTGTTAGTTAAATTTATAAAATTGTATTTATTATAAAAATTAGATGTAAAATATTTGTACCTATAGTTTTTAGTATTTACAATAAAAGGCCAGCAGATGGAGAGGAATAGAGAATTCATAGAGTTTGGATGTTATAGATGTGTGTACTTGAGAGATGTCTGCAAATTTGACACATATGCTTTCTTGTTTGCGGATCTATCTCGTATGACACCTCATACTTTCTTCTAATTGTTGTATCTTCTCTTTTTCTGACAGGTGAAGAGGAACGTTTCAGACTTGACCAACATCCCAGTCCGGCATCAACAGTGGGAGGGATGGCCCGCAACAGCAACTGATGACTCTGTAAGGAAAAGAGACACACTAACACACATTCAGTTTTTTATTTGTTAAAGAACATTTTTCCATCTTTACTTTTCTGTGTACTGTGTAAGCTGCCCACGTGTTGCCCTTAATGATTTTTGAATCCTAGTCAACTTTCTCAAAGTTAATAAGATGTCTAGTTAAAAGCCAAGCCAAAAGTTCACAGATTATTGTTTTTTACAGTTCAAATTATTGCAAATTGAAGAGGAAACTGTTCTTCACTCTGAATCCTTCTGTCAGAAGCTTGAGAGTAAGATGTTGAAGCTAATTAAGATGTCAAAGACATTCCCCGTCCTGTGTCCTCTATCTGTCGACATTAAATCTCACATCATTGAGTCCCGTTGACCTCTCCCGGCCCAGGGTCACTCCTCCCAGCCTTTCACCCTGCACACAGTCAAGCCGTTCAGAAGCAGCCCTCAAACAGAACCTTGAGGAACCTCTGACCCGTTTTGTCTAGCCTCTTCTTTGACAGCATATGTGTTCCCATGCTAATTGTATGGGATGGTTCTACACTGAGGAGCTGTTGTGCACACATTCTTATCTTAACCCCTAGCTAAAGTTTTCCTTTTAGATCTGTGTGATTGATGTTTGGTTTGGACTGTTGGTGTCGACTTTGTTTCACTGTTTGAGTATTATATGCCAATACAGACAGATTGTAGCAGACTACAGATCCATCTGGGTTTTTTTTCATTTGTGCAAGGTATGGTTAACCTGTTCTGATGGATACAGTCCATTCTATGTATCACTCATTATTCATCTTTCAAAACATTAGTGAATGGACAATAACTACACCTGTTTTCATGAGTTGAAGTAAAGCTTTAAAGATTAACAATGAAAGCAAATACATTGCACCATTAATGTTCCTAAAAGGGCAAAGGACAAAAGGTTATACATCCTTTCACTCCATAAGACTGTTTGCTTTATTTTGTTCCATTACAGCTGAGAGCAGGAAGTTGTAAAGTCGGTAACCACCAAACAAACCATAGTGCTATGACACAGATTTGTCATTGTTTGCATTATCTTTGAAGAAATCCAGTTATGTGATCACTAAACGGCCTGGGTTGCAACAGAAATACAAATCACAGGTTTAAATCTGAGGTAACAGTGTGGGATGGTTTACATTGAAAGACCTCAATGTTGTGCTTACTTGTTTTATCACTGTTTACCAGCTTTAAACTGGAACATGCAGCTTGCACTTTATGATTAATCATAACATTAACGAAGGAAGAGCGTTAACCACTCTGACTTTTTTTAGGACTTTGGTCAGGAGGTTGATTTGTCCAGTTGTGTAAGATTTACCAAGGACTTAACAACACCTGCAAAAAAGGAAAAAAGTAACTCGAGTTTTGTGGCACTGGTTGTGCTCAGTTGATAAAGCAGGCGCCCCATGAATAGAGGCTACAGTCCTCATCACACTGGCTGCAGGTTTCAACTCCCAATCTTGACGCTATTCGGGACTTTTCATCCCCGAATCACTCTCTCCAAATTTCCTGTCTATCATCAGCTGTCCTGTCCACATAAAGGACACAGACCCAAAACTATATTTTATTACCAATTTCTTTTAAATAAAACAATCATTTCTCAGTAATTCATATTGGAAAAATGTAAGATGGTGAAAGATGTACCGGTAAGTGAACTGTATGATTTAAACGTGTTCCTTTTACACTTTGTCTAAAATGCATAGCATATTGTACTAATGAAAAATAACAGGTTATTTTTATAAATGTAAACAAATGTATAATATTGAATAGTTGATAAACAGTAAATAATTAGTGAATTTGGATTTATATAGTCAGTATAAGTAGATTTTTATTCTAGTTTTGTAAGTTCATCACGCCAAGCTAATCCAAATGTTGTTAAGGATAAATAGGATCGAGTCAAATTATTCATATTATTCATTCACATATTTATGAACTTGTTGTCTGCTATGAATGGACCACAGCTAAGCTCCCTCCTCAGTATCCGTGGATATGACAGCCATGGATCATGAATAGATTGCGGCTCATTGTGGCATCATAGGCCCGGTTGGCACCTGGCTTACACACATCTGCAGCGTCTGTGTTTCCTGGATGAGGAGATATTAAAAAGCACAGAGACAGAAGTGTAATAATGGCCTCTGCTCTCGCTGCAGCCTTCTTATTGAAACGTCTGAAGGTATAAACAGAGAAAGCCCAGGGCTTGGCTTGCCTAGCAGGCGGGTAGGCAGCCAGTGTTAGTGTCTAACCTCATTAGCCCAGTCTCATCTCCCGGGGTTTGGGCCAATAAACATGGCAGCCAAAGGCCCAAGATTACGTTTAGCTCGGCACACTAGCCCGCGTGCAGTGGAATCGATTACTACCTAACTGTGCTTTGCTGTTGAACGTGTGATATAACTGTGTTTGCCCGTTTGTGTCCCTATTTGCAAATGTGCTTCACATATTGTGCACACTTAAGCTAGTGCTGGGTATTGAATCATTTTTGGCTACAACCGATCTGTATCTGTTGCATTAAAATGTAGTCTTAGATCATCTCATTGGAAACAACACATATATGCTTGTATACATTGATAGTGTTCTTGTTGACATCTTCTTTTGTGTCGTAAAATAGCCTAAAAAATATATATAATTAATTTTACAAACACTTTTGTACTGCTTTTATTTAAGAACTCTACAAAATCATAAGAATTAGCTGACTTAAGGTTTAATAAAGGAAATTATTTTGGTATTGAAAAGTTTGGTACAGGAGAGGCTGTATTGTTGGGAGTATTTTTAAACCTTACCCATCACTAAATGTTGCCTGTAGTATTTATTCAGTTGCATTTCCTTGTTCATTATTTAGATGAACATCATTTAGTTCATTATTTCTGCAGTTTCTAAATTTAACAGACATGAGTGTAGTTGTAGAAATAAATATTAGCAAATATATGCATATCAATTCAATATCTTATTGATCAACATCAAACTTCAAATGTCAGTTTGAGTAGGACTGTGTCCTGAGAAAGATATTTGAGTGGTGGCTTTGTTAGTTAATGTATTGTTTGAGTGTGGAAAATGAGTTTGTCAGAAAGAAGAAAGATCTCCCCTCTCAGGGAAAACTAGTAGTTATGTGTTATGTCACCCTCCCGGATACTGTCCACTCAATGTGTGTCATTGTTTATTGTGCTCTGAATTATTCAAGGCCTTGTGAAGGGTTGAAATTGGATCTGAATGGATAATGCTCATGTAGCACCGAACAACAGATTAGTTTATTAAGTGTACTGTGTTATTGTATGAGGTGTTAGACCGAGGGATCTGAATGAAGAAGGAAGTGGCAGAAAGTGTAGCTGAAGCACTGACAAGGTGGGTTGATGCTCATTTTTAGAAAACAGATTGTGTTGATCTGGGTATTTTTTACATTCTCAGAATATATTTTTTTAACTAAATGAATTAACAACAATCTTGTGAGGAAAAAAAGTGCACTTTAAATAAATACTCCAGAACTCCAGTTTTTGCACAAAAACACATCTCCGCTCTACTTTCAACTTCTTCCTGGTTTTTGTGGCTTTGGCGAAGCTTTTCTAAACAGCGCTGATGATGATGACAGAGGTCTTGGCAACAGTTAATATAAGGATCAATATGACAAAACTTCCTGTGCTGATTGATCCTCCTTCCTTGCCTCCTCCTCTCCTTCTCTCCTCTTTTATTTCTTCGTCTGACCAACACAGCAGCGAGAGTTTCCAGACTGGTCTCATCTCATTGGAGCTGTTTTGATTGGCAGTCTTTCCTCCACACCTGTTGGAGTGATTGACAGCCAGTGGGGCTTCCTTATTACATCCCCCAATCTCTTCAACCCCCCACCAGCTTCTTCCTCCTAGCCAGTAATTGCTGACATTTATGCAGTGTTTCATGGTGTTTGCTAATGTATTAATGCTGCCGAGCATCGGAGGTGCCTTGCCTTGTAGGCCAGCACCTCCCTCCATTTCCCAGCTGGCATTAATGGAATCCTCCTCTACCTGATAGGGGCCTATGAAACTGAGGGTTTATTTAGGAGGGCCAGGTGGTTTCCGTAGCAACAGGGCTCAGTCATAAGCTCAGGCAGAGCCCCCTTCCCTTGTGCGAATGGCAGCCTTCAGGTGACATTCAGCTCTTAAGTTAGTCTGCCTGTCTCTTTTTCTGTCTTTCTAGCTGTTTTTTATGTATTCTGTGAAGCTTCAATTTTTCAGTTTATGTGTTTATTTGAAGATGAGTAAGTTTATCCTCAATAGTTTGGTCACCTTATAGACCCCCTGTGAGAGCCAAAGGTACATACCTGGAAGAAATAACACCTGTAAGAGATAAGCGATAAGCATCTCTACATCCTCCTATTGCTCTGCATATGCATTTTATGTGTTAACATGCAAACAATGTGCAGGACCTGAGGTACTAAACAACATGTACATATTCCCAAAAATATATCTTCATCAAGGTTTAGAAAAGCCTGAAACAAGAAGATCAACAGGTGTAAATGGTGGGGCACACTTGGTTGTTCTTCTTCGTGCCGACCTTTTCCCTGTCAAGTGTTCATTTTTCATGTGTTTGCATTATTTCTCATCAATGCTACTTTCTCTACCGATCTGCTTTCTCTCTACTGTCCAGTCTTCCCCGCTCCTCTCCCTGTTCTTCCCTTTCTCCATCAAAGAAAAAGTGGAATAAGGTGGGACTGTGGTTTTGGTTGCCTTCAGTGCAGCTGTCAGTAGTAATTATCTCACACTCACAGCCAGACACCTAATCCAAACACTGCCTAAACTAGAAAAGAAAAAAATGAAACACAGAAAGAATGAAGGGAGAGAAAGAAGGGGAAGAAAGGGTTGAAAGGGGGAGGGAAGGGGTAAGGGAGAGAAAAAATGATTTCCCTGTATCAGCCCCTGAATGCTTAGAACCTCAATGCAAGTGTTAATTAAAGGAATCCAAAAAAGAGGAGCCAGTTCCTTTGTGTGGAGATGTTGGAGAGGGTCATTTGAGGGGGTTAACCTCGTCCTCCCACCCCCCGTGCCCTGCAGCGCATCAGCCTTGTTTCCACGTTTTACCACTGAGCCGCCAAGCTGCACTTGTGTACCTCAACATCAGAAGAAGCCATTGGGTCAAAGCGAGGAAGAGGATTGAGAGGCACTCAACTCATTTTTTTCCCCTTTTCACCTCCCCTCCTTGCATCCATGTCAGAACAAACCCTCCAGGCCCGCTTTGATAGGGGAAGTGATCAACTTTATTTATACACTTATTAGGCCCTCAGACCAAAGCCTCTCATTGTGAGTACTAGGGGTAAAGGGTTTATGGGATCCTCTCGACAGCCGCTGTTAAGATTCTCACGTTTGATTGCCACTCGATTGGGGAAAAGGGCACAATAGTCTTGGGGCCATGCCTTCACATCCCTCAGGCAAAGCCTGTATGTCTTTGTTTGACTCAATACCTACAACTCTCTCTGAGCACTAATTTTAATCTCAGACCTGGCACCCACCATGACTCCAATGGCCATAGCATGTCATTCTTAAACTGAAAGAACTGATTGCTTGTTTTTCTTTTACTGTTGGGGGAATCTTGTTTTTGTTCCAATGCGTTGTAAGGTTCACTCAAAAAATATGAATGACACAATGATCTAATAAACAAACTTCTAAATGACTTAGAGTTAAGTTACAGGTGCAAATGCGAGGCAATTCAGTTAAGTGTTCTTCGTTGGTGTTCCACGGATACTGAGCTGTCCTTGCTGTGACTTTTACACACTTCTCATTTTCAAGAGTACGCTCACAAGTTATTGGTAATACACAAGAAATACAATCTGTTTCCACCATCATGCGAGTGGGCACATCTGTTACTGTGTTTTGGTTTGACTAAATCTTTTAAGCCTGGGGGAATAAGTGTGAATTTAACAAGAACATATTTTCTTATATAATTTTAATATGCTTCATTGTTGACTTGTCCCTTACATGCTGATGTCATTCTTGGTTTGTGTAGTTCAAACATTGCGTGACAGTCTCGCCTCTACTTTTTTTTTTGAGCCGTTTTCTTTGCTTAAGACAACACGGAGAAGGAATACTCATCAGGATATTATTCATTCTTGAATTGTCAGAGGAAATACGGCCTTTCTCATATCTTCTACTTGGTTACTGAGCTGGTGGGAATTTCAAACTTAGTGGTTCATATTATAATCGCTATATGCCTTGATGGTCTTTGAGCTGGAATAAATGGTGAAGTTTGTTTTTTTTCTCCTGGGAATTCCAGAGAAAATGAACAATTCCAAAACCCAAAGTACATGTATGGATAACCAAATGTAATTAAAAAAAAAGTTTGCACCAAGGGTTTTTGCTTTATAAAGCTCCATCACATTATCTTTAATATTGTGAAAAAAGAAACCTTTATGGATACAGTAATTCTACACCCTGTGTGTGTTTTTTTTAATAAGAACTGTCCTCTTGTCTTTCCACAAGTGGAAGTGTATATGCCTAGTATTATTTTATCTCTATTGTATTTTTCTTGCTTTATTTGATTAATGTAAATATATTTTTTTTTACTTTTTATTTTTGCTAATTATACTCCTGTTTTTTGAGTTGTTGTAACAACAACATTTCACCCAATGGGGGATCAATAAAGTTTTTCTTTATATGTATCTTTATACACTTAACATACAGATAGGAGACTACTTTATTTATATATATATATATATATTGTATTGTTGTCATATTGCCCAGCACTAACTACATTCATTCCAAGTTCTCAGCCACAACTGTCCAAATGTTCCTGTCAAATATTTGTTATCTTTTGGCTTCAACTCATTTACTTTCTAATGCTTAAAGAGATAAGGTAGTGTGAACAGATTGGAAAATACGATATAAAGATTCTTATCAGGGTCAGCTCCATAGAAGTACTCAATTGTAAGTCCATGTTGCTGACAAGGTCCAGTGGTTACTCTGTTCTTTCCTTCTCTAAAGGCTGAGGCCAGCATGAGGAACCACACTATTTTAAAGAGACGCAGTCTGTGTGTCCCTTTTCAGACTCAATTGGCGTTGCATGTAATCGTCTCTTGATTCAACCATGTCCCAGCTGCTCTTTGTGTGTCTCAGCACCTGACAATGGAGCAGATCACTGGATCTCTGCTGGGGACGAGCAGCTTCTCTGCCTCTTATCACACCATGCTTGTTTGCCCTTCCACGGCCCTGTCGTTAAGAATTTCACTCTCCCAGAAAAGCACATTGCTCGTAACAATAAGTATGTCGATGAATGTATTGTTTCTTATTGGTAAATGAAGGCTATTAAGTCATGTAAGACTTTTTGGTTACGCACAGTTTTTTCAAAAGCGAGTCATTTCACACTGCATCCTGCCAGAGCCATGCCTGTTTTGTTGATGTCCCTTGGGGTCTAAGCCAGGAGACACCAGCTGTAATGAGTCCCTGATGAATGCTGACATTTTCAGTCCTGGCTTTGGATTTGGTAGCTCATTAGTCAGGTGTCTCTTACTATAAACTACCATCGCACTAACATCAGATGTACAGAAACATCATCAAGGTTTTAACCTTATTGGCAAGATCAAGTTTCTGTTTGAAGTCTCTAAAGCACCTAATGATTCAGGCTATGACTCTACAGCCTGCGAGGTGACATTAATATCTAAATAAGCTAACCAAAGTTCAGTCTGATGATCAGATATTACTCATTTACACTTAATGATATCATTAACAAAGATTTGGCCAGTGATCACGTGGTCCAAGATCATACACTAATCATAAACTTTTCTCATAAGAAAATACTAATTCATACTTGATTTGATTTATCTTTTTAGATGACGCTAGCTGTCTCTGGAATCAGCTATCCTTGCCATCATCTCAGTGTTTGTCGAAGGTCTTCACCAGCCAACTCCCAGGAGCCCACAGAAGAGGTATACACACACACACTTTCTCCAAGGATCTGTGCTGTGCAAAAAATGATCCCTCTGTGCTGTGTGTTACGGGCTAGCAAAGCCTAGGAGTGTAACTTTAACTAAAAGCTAGTCCTAACCTGGAGTGTGAATTAAAGGAAGGAGAAGAACACTAGAGAGAAGAGACAGGTTTTCATGACGGGACAATACAAGGCGCGGTAAGTTTACCTGCATGCCTCTCTGCCGGGCCGCAGGCCTTGATAGCAGTGGATGGCGTTGCGGTGAGCGGCAAACCCAAGCTTCGTCTGAGTTCAGTTTTTTGGTTTGGTTTGTAGGTTTGAGCCAAAAAATAAAGGGTAGATTTTGGTTTCATTGAAGTTCAATGGGTGTGGATCTACTGTCGAGTCCGGTAGCGCTTCTGCTTTTCGGCATCTTCACCTGTTGTCCCTCAGCAGCTGCCGCCTCATTTGAGTCTTTTTACGTAATTTAAAGGAGACACAGCAGCACACGCTCTGTTTGACCTCACAAACAGTGCATTTAAGTCTACCAGCCATCACAGTGATGTTTCAACACAGCTTAAACTCATTCTTTATTTCCCTCATGAAAACCAGTCCTGAGTACCGTAATAAAAAAAACAGAAGAAGAGGAATCTTAACGTTCCCTCTCACTTCTAACACTAGACCTATTCAGACTGCCGTTTCAAGCAGTAATATTTAACATTTACAAAGTGATCCCCCTCTGCACCGTCTTCAGAGGTAGTAACAGAGGCGTTACAGCAACAAAATGGTTTCAGCGGGGCAGCGCTGTGTGTGTGTGCGCATGTCTGACTTAGTGTCTATGTGGAGCTCCCGCTATGCTGTGCTTCTGCAAGACTGAAACGCAATGTGGATTGAAAGCTGGGACACCAATATTAAACTGTCATGGAATTGATATGAATATGCAAAGATTTGTTGACGGCTGAGCTTAGTAACAGCACGAAAAAAATCAGTCTGAAAAGGGCTACTGTGTATACTCTCTAATTCATAAACCAGGGGGACTAAATGCATCTGGTAATTATTTCTGGTAAAACTATTAAACTTGCTAAACTTGCATACTTTCTGTTTACAGTGTGCAGATGTTCATATGGTCAGCGACAGTGAGGGGGACGATTTTGAGGATGCGTCAGAGTTCGGCGTGGACGATTCAGAGATGTTTGGAATGGGTTCCTCTACCTGTCGGAAATCACCAATGAGTATGTCGAGTAGCTTAATCATATAAGATGAGAATAATGGATGAAGCTCTAGGGCTGTATTTATTGCTCATAAATGTTTCCAAGGCAAAAAAATAATTGTTGTCCCCCTGCAGTGCCAGAGAACAGTGAGAACGAAGCTGATGCCTTACTGCACTTTACTGCCGAATTTTCTTCAAGGTGAGCTAAGCTTTACATGTTCCTCATATCAATTCAGCGCGGCTCGCGTGATACAGTGTGTTTTCAAACTGTTTGCCTGTTCTGCGTGTCCTTTAGGTATGGAGAGGCTCACCCAATGTTCTTCATTGGGTCTTTGGAGGCAGCGTCTCAAGAAGCTTTCTATGGCAAAGCCAGAGATGTGAGTAAGCTGATCATTTGTCTGGAGCCTCTTTGGAATGTTTTGAGATACTGAAATGTTGAACAAAATCCTAACACTTTTAATTTTGACTTTGTAAGCTATGAGGTTCTGATGTTACCAGTGTTGACTTTTCTGTAGCACTTATATCATCCCTGCAGTTGTCTTTGCTTAAAACAACACAGATGAAGGACGCAGACTGAGCAGGATATTATTCGTTCTCTATCAAGGGAGATACTGCGTTTCTCATATCTTCTCCTTTGTTACTAAGCTGGTGGGAATAAGGACACAATGTTCACTGTTTTAACCAATCTCTTTATATGCCCAGGTTACATTTTTTATTGTGAAGTAAAACATGGAAAGGATCTTTCTGTCCTTAGAACCACGGAGGAAGAGTACGTTATGTTAGTTCTGCAAAAGCTCTTTTTAATAACACATACTGTGATAAGATATAATATAAAAGAGAGTGGGGCACTTTCTCAGGGATTTGGTTCTTGTCAACTCCTACCAGTCCTACTGAACATTTTCTCTCCTGTATAGATGATCAGACTGTAAGGGATTCAACTGAGGTAGTGTAGCAGCAGCTGACTGAAAATAACACTGTATTAAAAAAGGAATTGGTTCCGCATTGGTGTTAGTTGTTGCGTAAAGTACAGATGAGAATTGGTTTATGCTTCAAGAAGTCCAGCTTTAAAAACATGAATCTGAAAGTTCATCATATCCCAAACTTAACTCTGAACAATCATTGAGATTGAGACTTTTTCAATCATTGAGTTGGCATGTTGCTGAACTCATCATGCGACAGAAGAGTTTTCTAATCGCAGAGCTTTTGTTAGTCTGACTGCAGCCACATTTGGCTCAGACAGAGATGCAAGGGGCCTTTAACATGAATAGGGAAAAGTCAAACAAAATAAAAACAAGAGGGAAACAAGTTTTATTTTATATACTTTATTAGTCCCGCGAGGAGAAATTAAATATTTACACTGTTGTTGAGCATGCAACACACACAGGCACGCATGCACAAACAGGATCTACAGACATGCATTAATGGAGAGATGTCAGAGTGAAGGGGCTGCACAGAGCGATCGCTCCTGAGTCAGTGGGGGGCATGTCAGTAGTGCTAAGGAAATAAAGTAGCACCTCTCCAGCTATCAGACCAATTTCCAGATTTGGTCCACACCAGGTTTGAACCTGTAACCCTCCGGTTTCCAACCCAGGGCCCTGCAGACTGAGCTATTGCTGCCTCGTTACCTATTAAGTTCCCCATAATCATTTCTAACAGTGCCTTCAGTGCTGATCATATATGGTTTAATCCCAACTACGAGTTACTTGATTGCATCATAATTCAGAATCAGTCTTAAAGCACCGACCCATATACTGAACACAGACATAATAGCTTAACCTAAAAAGCAAAAAATGATTACCTTGAAACTAGAAGAGGAATTGCATTCAGTAATCATAACCGCTTTTTCTGCCATTTCTGTATGGTCCAAACAGGCTTATATTTATTATGAAAGCTTAATTTACTGAATCTGAAGTTGAACTCCTTGTTTTCAATATTGTTACTTGTGTGTGTGTGTGTGTGTGTGTGTGTGTGTGTGTGTGTGTGTGTGTGTGTGTCATCCAGTATGGACAAGGCTTTATAGCCACATTGATAAAATATCATCAAAACCTACAACAAATTTTCATCCCGACAGCTGAGGCTTTATTTTTAGCTGTCCACTTTCCCCCCATGTTTTTTGGCTTTTGTCCTTTTAAGGATGCTTGTATCAACTGACAGCTTGTGTGGATTACAGCCTTATTAGACTGTTAGGACACAGCAAGATGTTAGGGGGGTTCAGATCACCAGGCACAGGAGGGAGGGAGAGAGGGGGGGGTGGTAGACATGATGGTAGGGACCCAAATCAGACAACATGGTGTGAAAGGAGAGGAGGATGCAAATAGTGAAAGTCATTTGTAGAGAGTGAGTGAGAAAAAGAGAGGAACACAAGAACGAGAGGTTGCAGGATACGGGTGAGGGATGAGAAAAGTGTGAAATAAACAGAGATAGAAAAAAAACCTAAAGAGTAGCTTGGCATCTCGCCTGCTTCCCAGCTGATCTCCTCTCCTAAGCCAACACAATATGGCCAGTGTCTCCCTTGTGTTCACACACTCTGTACTGTACTCTACGCAGCGCAGGGGCGAAATAGTATTCATTTTTACTGTTCTATGTTTTATTCTGAGTGAGCTTGATTTAGGCTGCCAACTGTTCCGTGGTTAGGATGGCTTTGTGGAAGTATGATATATGCGCAAAGAATTTTGCATGAAAACAGAAGCTTTTTGGTCTGTTTTATGTTTGTTGTGTTTTGTCACAAGCGTCCTATGACGGGCCAAAACATGCTGCTTTTGACGGTTTCATTACACAGTAGCATATGGGCCTGGTTACTCTGTCCCCTCTTCTATCCCTCCTGCCATCCAGTGCTTTGCCCTTTGTGACTGTTTGAAAAGGAATCTAGTTTTTGAGCCCCTGTCCTAGAAAAGGCCTCCTTCATTAAGGGGATATTGGAATAGGTCTGATTCGACTGGGGGGACTACTCAGTGGATTTATAAACAGAGAAATCAGTCTCACTCTCTGAAAGCCTTGCAGAGGCTAATCACTAAGCAAAACACTACATTTGATGAAGTGTTTCTGGAGGTGTGTGTTGAGGGACTGTTGAGATAGACTCAATCCATCCTTAATGAAAATGCTTTGGGCTGCAGTGCTGAGCTGAGCTGAGCTGAGCTGAACCCTCTTGGGGATCAGTGGTTAGTCAGAGCCGAAGAGAGATAGGCCACCCATCACTAACCACGATCCTCACTAAATCCCCATCAACGCAGTGGTTAATCACTCTAACCCCGCTCTCCGCTCCTCTCTCCTGTCTGCCACACACAAAGACACATCAAAATTCATAGCCTCGCTGGAGAGGGGAGTTCAGGGATTTATCACTGCCAAGTATCTCCATTAAAACCCTATAGCCGTACAGATTCAAGAGGAAAGAGCACTGAATCTGACAGGCATGTGGCATGAAGGTGTACACATATTTATCAAATCTCCGGATGTATATCACAAGCACAAACTCAGTCATGGTTTTCTTTACAGCAGCTAAAGTTTTTACTCACTTGTACAAGTAGATGGATTTAAGAAAAATTTGTGTTTGTAGAAAATGTCTAAAGTAGTAACTTGCAGGTATGCTTTTTATATCTTCATTTATTTAACACAGATTTGAGTTTTTTTTCAGTTAGTGATTAGGATATTGCACAACCTAAAGCTTTTAACATGTGACATAAAGCTGGTATTCATTTGCGCTATAAACTACTTGTTGGAAAGATAGTTCACATTTTGATGATGCATCTGTTTTAACTAGGTAGTGTGTTTTTGACCTGAATTTGAGGTTAGGCATGGATGTGGCAAATCTGTGTAAAAACACACTTATCTGGACTTCATCTTCTTTCCTCCCCTCTATACATGTCAGTGTATATTCTCATTCACTGGCTCTTTTAAAACATACTATACCTGTGATGAAAAGCGCGCGCTTCACCTGAAAGAAACAGCATCCACAGAAAACAGGTCTTTAAATAAAGCACATGCCTTTGTAAGTGTAACGTTTAATATTCCTCCAAAGAAGCTCTAAAAAATATAGAGACTGCACAAGAGTGAAATCTTGTGTCACATTTTAACCAATGTGTACCAATGCTTAGATTTTCTGTTGGAGGACAGTGATGGGAAAGCCCATAGGAAGACAAAGAGGCCCATCTCTCGGAAAAGATACACTAGGACCTGGTTGTGTCAGATTTAAAATATTTAAAAAATATGCATTGGTAAATGTATTTCCATTCAGATTTTGAATATGAAGAATCTGCACTATTAAAAAAAAATGTCAGAAGTTAATTAAGTGCACCGAGTCAAAAAGCCATGTTGTTAATGTTTTTTCAAATACTATATATTTCGCACTCTGAGTAAACTGTACTGAGAACTTGAATACTTTTTCAGCATTTTGTCAATGCGATGTCGACACATTAGTCTTTTTCATCCAAGCAGTTGATCTATCTGAATTTCAGGGAGAATCATCACTTGAGGCCTTGTTTTTTCAGAACTGAATTAATAGTAATTGTTTAAGCTTTGACAGAAACTCTGTGTATCTAACCTGTGGCTCTGTCAAATGAAGCATTTTCCCTGTGGTTTTAAATACCAGAGATAAGGCTAAAACCTTGGGGGGGGGGGGGTCTCTTCAGCAATGTGCTGTAAATATTTTACCAGACCGCCTCTTTTAGGGGTAAACATCACGATATAGTTAAATAATAGATTTTGTATTTAGATGAACAATTATAATTGTTTTTAGACGTGACAATGACTCAAACTGCGTCTAATCTGTAAGTGAGTAGAACATAGATTATACGGTCAGATCTGAGTGAATGCAACCACTGTTCTACTGCGTAGTCTCTCTCTCACATAGTCGCACACAAAGCGCGCTCAGAATAACGTGAACAGGTGTGAAAAGGGCCGTAGGGTCACTATCTAGCTCAGGTTGGACCTAGTAATTTAGCTGAACTGAGGGATTTGCTCCTCCCTGCTAAGACAGGCAACACAAAAGATCTGACTTGAAAGCAGAGAGGGAACAGAAGGCTACAGACAGTTTAACTGAGATGAAGGAGTTCAGTTGGCCAAAATACCCACTTTGATTAGTCTTTACACTTGCTCTAATTGAGCATGCATGTGTGGGAGTCCCTCACTTTTGGGTACCACCAGACAGTTCAGTTTGCGCATGTGTGTTGGGCCGTCAGCATTTGAGTGTGTATCAGGTTGTTGTTTTTTTTTTTCATGTTGTAAAACTCTCCCTCCCCTCCACACACTCATTCCTCTCTCAAGACTGAATTTGCTTGTCTTCTCAGCATGAGTGTTTAATCTTTTCAGGCTGTTGAATCGGCCCAATGAATGAGTCCCCGGCTCCCTCTCTCTAGGAGCCCTGGAGATTATTCTAAAGCACTAATCGTTGAGCAAACACAGCAGTGCTCTCCTATTCCCATTCTACACAGGCCACAGTAGAGCACAACTTCTTCTTTTACTTCCCCTCACGTTTTACGCCCAGTGTAGATCTTTTGCTTTTTGGCATACGTAGCCTAGATTACTGCTCCTGAGAAACAGACCTCTTGACTCCTACTGCATAGCCATGGTTAAAAATGTGCTAAGCAGAGACTGGTTTTTTTTTTTGTTGTTCTTTTATATCAAGAGAAGTGACATGTAATTTAGAGAGCATTATTTCCAACATTGTCCCCTGGAACCTTTTATGTTTGTGGGTGTGTTTGTTTTTTAATTAGATTGTCAGTAGGGAGAATCTGCCGGGCTTATATGATGGTGTCAATATCCTTGGATTTGGAGCTTCGTCAATATTGTCTGGCCCTGCCGCTACTAACCTGAACAGGCTGCTGGCATTTGGTGTAAAATAAATAGAGTGATTTGTCTGTTTTGTTTTCTCCATATCTCCGTCGCCTCCATGAGAAGTTTTATTTACACCGCTCCCCATTTGATTTTGCGTGGTATTTGCTTTTTTGCCAGTTGTGGCCTTGCTGTGGACTGTGGAAGTCATGCTGGATCTGCACCCGGTGGTCCCTCATGTCATTTTATTGTCATGTTATGTGGAAATGTCTCCCCAGTGATGGGACACCCACACGGCTGCCAGATTTCCCACAATACATCAGCAAAAACTTTTTTTCATATTCAAGTCTTTTTTCATCAAACTTCACAATCGTTGTGCATTGACCCACTGACTTCCAACTATATTATTTCTTGTTCTGTTTCTCTCAACATTAAATCCACTTCTCTAAAGATCTAAGCAATTTCCTTCTTTGCCTCTAATTTTCCTTTTCTTTTGTCCTTCCTGCTCATCTCAACAGAGAAAGCTGCTAGCCATCTACCTCCACAATGACGACAGTGTCCTCGGCAACGTCTTCTGCTCCCAAATGATGTGTGCTGACTCCATCGTCTCCTACCTGAGCCAGAACTTCATTACATGGGCCTGGGATGTCACTAAAGAAGCTAACAAAGCCAGGTACCAGAGGAGGCCAGATGGTTGTTTTAACGTTTCCAGAGGATGTTCTAGTCAAGGAGCTGTTTGATTATTCTTTACACACTATTGCAGATGTGGAAGAAATCAAGCCATAATTTTTAAATAATTGTATTCAATGACATAAGTATTTTTTTTATTTAGCAATTGTCATTTACAAGCCTAAACATCCTGTCCAGAGAGAAAAGAGTCAGTTCAATATTGCACCCTAATTAGGGTAGACACAACTATAATGTTATTGATTGTGTTTCTGCCCTGAAATACTTTCATACCACGACCTGTGTGAATATTCTATGGTTACATTTTTTGGGACTTTTGCATGGACATGAAAAGGTTTAAAAAGTCTAGATTAAACACACCCTCAAATCCGATATATCTAAATGTAAAAAAAGAGTTAAAATCCAAATTATGATCAATATTTGAAATAGCAAAAGCACATGGATTCTGATTTCATGCTCAGTCCAGTGGTATTAGGTAAGAGCCTCCGGAACCTCAAAATAAAGCCACTGAACTGATTTTATAATCGCAGAAATGGACACAACTATAGGAAACGGAATAGCCCTTTAAACACCAAATACATGCTCTAAATCATGCTGTTTAGTTTTGAATTTTGCCAATTATGAAGTAAAGCGGAACAATAACTGAACCTCTACGGACTGCATTCTTAATCCTTCTATTTTATTTATATGGGACTTACAGTCTGGAGATGTTGACTGTTTGCATAGTGAGTTGTATCTCATTCTCAAGAGGATATTGAATATATTTCAGTAGGAGAACACTTGATTGTGTGCATAGGCCTCTGCAAACTGCCTGTATATCCTGTTATAGAGGCTCTTTCTCATTCTCATTCATTTTCTCTCCCTCACCCTCGGACTGTTGCTTACAGTTATATTGGGTTATTGAAATTTAAGACTGAAAAGACTGTTGATAAGACTGTTTTGTCATTCAAGCATGGGCAGCTAGCTTTTAGAAAATGATCTAAAATGTGTGGACAGAACCTCTTTTTAAAACACAAACAGTGCTTCCAAATCTTTTTTGCATTAGTGTGCACATGTCCTTAATTGCTGGCATTCAACTCTCACTCACAGTCTGTATCTCTGTCTGCTCATTCTCTCTTCTACTTCATTCTCTTCTTCATTTGAATTTCTGAGGTTGCATGCTAACAAAAGGCGTTGTGTTTGCATGGTGAGGCCCCTGATTGGGCAATCTTGACTAAGCTGTCTGAAAAGAGGGTCAGTGGGAGACTGAGAGCTCCCTTGGAGTCCAAACATCTCTATCTCTCTGTTTATGCTTTGAGCCTGCGCAGCTCCAGCAGTGTGTGTTGATTACTGGCAGGTCTGTGAAGCACCTGTTTATTATACAAGTCATTTAAAGTTAATGATGTAGACAAATATAACACATTTATATGAAAACAAATCTGTTGTGTAATTTGTGATTGACAATCAGGTTCCTTGTAGATTCCAGCATTTAGCAATGGAGAGGTGGAGGTGAAAAAGCTCCTGCTGAGGGTTCAATTGGGTTACTCGTTATCATTGAGCTCTGAGAAATCCTAATAATTCTTCTCGCTTCCCCGCATCTTTCTGCTACTTTTTTCCTTTACTCTCTTCTCCCTTCTGATGCCATGGAATCTTTCTTTATTTTCCTCCTTTTCATCCGAATAAATCAACTCTCTCCCTCTCTCCAGAACATCCAGAGTTAAGCCTGCCCTCTAGTAGCAGCCATTAAAGAAAGTCTCACACCCTGACCTCAGCTCTCCATTATTTCTTTTAAGGAAATACCCTCCTTTCTTCATGCCACTCTCCATTCTCTCCCATTGGCCTCCTTTGCTTTTTGCCCCAGCTGAGCCTTTTTATTGCACATTAAAAAGGCAGGCAACATCTGGAGCTTTTCATTGCACACAGCTAGTCACAGCTTTGCTGCCAACGCATGCGTGCACATGTGCACACTCGCTCACTCACACATATACGGCTTCTCCACATTCTCACGCTCTCTGGCTGATCCAAAGTGACTGCTGATTGGCACCAATCAAACAGGCTGTTAGAAAAGTATCCTGATTGTGTGTTTGTGTGTGATGAACCTGCTGATATTGGAATGTGCCTGTTGCTTGGCTCTGTATTCTCACAGGCCTCCCAGTTAAATGATTAATTATGCATAAACGCAGTTGCGCTGATTGGATGCCAGTGTAATTGTCACCCATGGGAAATAAATCTGATATATCATACTGACGCTGTACTTCCATTGCACATGGCAAATATTGAAACTATTATTAGACAAACACACTGACACTTGATGTGTTTGTGTGTGTGCGCGCCATGCTTTTTCAAATCGTTCAGTGCTAACATGCCCGTTCAAATGCTACTACAAAGTAAACTCGTACACTCTGTTTTCTTGTAATTTTTTTTGCATCATTTGGGTTGTCAACATACAAAAAGGCCTGCCACAAACATTTAAGCCCCTAAAGATCCTCACAATGTCCAGTACAATGACCCAGCAATACAAGTGTTAGTGTTATTGTTAATGATCTTTTTCTTCATCTATGTGTAAGCTAATAGCAGGGGACAAACCAACGTGCAAACTTCATTCATGCACTTGACTTCTTTTCTTGACATCCTCCTTTGTGATAGCATGACTATCTGCGAGGGAGTACAAATGTCATTCTCAAATCAAAACATGTCCAAGTTCGCTCTGAAACAAAGTGTGTATAACACAGTGAGCTATCAGAGCATCCGGTTCCCATACATGCTCCAATACAGGTGGCTGGCAAAAACATTCCCTGCAGTGCTACTGTTCTAACCTGACTCATCAAGTGCTCAGTGAAGCACATGTCAGGTCTAACCAGTCTACTTGCATCTTCACGCACCACTTTGAAGTGAAGAAATGTGATGTGACAGCCCAGGGAAACATTAACTATTTTAGCTGCCTGGATGTGTGGAGAGATGGAGATGGGATTGGTGACAAATTAGAAGCTGTCAGTCACATCTGAACAGAGCCTTAAACCCACCTCAGCTGTCATTTTCTAGCAGGTGTTTCCTCTAAATGTAGCTACCCCTGAAGGAATTGAAGGTCACAGGTCTGGTACAGTCTGGGCTACATTCTTCACCATGTTATATTATGGCTGGATGAGACCGTGCTGAACTGTTCAGCGGCTTGACTTCCTCCTGAATCCAATGTTGTGTTTCTACTAATTCTACAGGTCGTTTCAAGCCCTTCATATTCCGGTTACAGTATTTCTGTCATTCTTAGTTGCAGTGGATATAGAAGTTTAGTTTGCATTTTAAACGGGATGATGACTTTTACACTGTTGGTGGACCTGTTGACTTCCTAAATTTTGATGTAGAAACTAAAGCAGGTTGTCTTGTGTTTGATGGGAGCTTAAAGATTGGGTTACCCTTCAAGTTAATGTCTATTGTTCCCTGGGCTTTCATTACAGGTTAGAGTTTCCCTGTGGGCTTTTGTTATGGTCTGTCTGGGTTGAAGTCTGAACAGGGACAAATGTCAGGACAAAATGATCACTAGGATTTAGGGTACCCAACTTTGTCATTGCAAGACATGGGTCACTCAAAGTTCAACATTTAAAAAGAGTCTTACTTTCAAAACAACTTCAATTCATGTTTTTTTTTTTTTGTGTTCAGCTGTAGCTTCCCAAATGTGAACTCCATTTCAGTCTCTTTTCCATATTTTTGGCATACTGGTTCCGATTATTACTTCAAAGTCTTTTTTAAAAAGCCCAAGTACTCAGTTTTTGAGAGACTGCAAATAGCTGGCTCAGCTTTGGCTTCATGTTTAATGAGTTACACCCCCTCGTTGACAGCTTGCATCCCATCTATCTTCTTCCTCTGACCCTCTGTCCATCCATCCATTCCATTACTCCTCTATTTTACCAGCCAGTTATTAAAGTAGATCTTATTAAAAGGCAGGAGAAAAAGCTAATCTATATTTGCATTCAGTCTATAGCAATTCATTAATATTATGACATTTAAAGGGAGCTTGGTGGGGCCCCCGCTGCCTGCTACCCTTTTCCCTCTCTGAAATGTTAATTTAAAAAGTTCTGTCTTTGTAATGGAATAAGAAATCCTCTCCTGCCCTATCAATTCTGGGCATCTGGTGAGGAATACTAATTCTTCTGCAGGTCCAATTGAGATAGCATGTCACTCTGATGGAATGAGAAAATGCAGAATTGGTTTTAAAGTCTTTAATGCCACCAGTTTGGTGTATTTCTCTTTTCAGCCGTAGTTAGAAAACTGGAGTATTTGTCTCCTTCTGTGTGGTGTGTACAATAATGTGTATTTATGTGTGTGATTTGTGGTGTATTTCCAGGTTCCAAAAAAGGTGAATTGATTGTAATCTATTGCATTATTTCTTTGTCTTGCAGACTACTCACAATGTGTACTAGGCACTTTGGCAGTGTGGTGACACAGACTATACGGACATACAAGACAGACCAGTTCCCTCTTCTCCTTATAGTCATGGGAAAACGCACATCCAATGAAGTTCTAAATGTTATTCAAGGTAAAAAGGATTTCGTTAATATCATAAAAACGGTTCTCCGTTATCACTGAAAAACAAAAATATTAAATTATTCTGTAATTATTTTGCTTCTGCTCTTTTTGTCTTCAGGCAATACAACAGTGGACGAGCTGATGATGAGGTTAATGGGTGCAATGGAGATCTTTACAGCACAACAACAAGAGGATATCAAAGATGAGGTAAGGTTTTTGTACACTCAGGATGCCTGTGACTGCAGTGGATTACAAACAACTCTATCTGATTCTTCAACATCTAGTTAATACTTTGGATAGTCTGAAAAGTAACTACCCATATAAAGGACTCTGTTTTGACTAAATGAACCTGCCTATCTTCACATTGTTGACTTCCAGGGCAATAGAGGAAACAAAGGCATATTCCTGTTTCCAAAAAAGTTTGTCTACTGTGCATAATATCATTAAAACATTCAGAGAATGTACGCCAGGGTCAAGGGTGAAAAAAAACAACACTAGATGGTTGCAGTCTTCGGGCCATCGTACAATACTGCATTAAAAAAATACATAATTCTGTTGTTGACATAAGTGCATGGGCTAAAGAACGCTTCCAAAAACCATTGTCTGAATCACAGTTTGTCCCTTGAGACTTTATATAAACCAGATCCAACTGCCTTCCTAGTATTATTCTATTATTGGTTTTTTTCTCCCTTTATTTAGCTGATGTACATATGTTTGATTTTTAACTTCTTGTTAGTTTTGATAATTATATTCCTGTTTCTTGAGCTGTTGTGACAAAAAAATTTCCCCCATGGGGGGTCAATAAAGTTTATCTTTATCTTCTCGGGTACAAACTCATTTAAGATCGACTAAGGCAAAGTTTAAAACTGTTCAGTCGTCTGACAAGTCAAAATTTTAAAATTCTGTTAGGAAATCCCGGACAACCCATTCTCTGAGTTTAAGACAAGAGGGCACATCTGGCTTGTTGTCAGCCCTCAGCTCAAAAGCAAGCATCCGTGATGGTGTGTGGGGGCATTTTAGCACATGACATAAGTAACCTGCACATTTGTGAAGCAACCAATTAATACTGAAACTATACACAAGTTTAAGTAGACAATGCCCTCTTCCAGGAGTGCCTTGCTTACTTCAGCAAGACAATGTCATACCACATTACAACCATGCTGTATTACATCAGCATGGCTCCCTGGTTTAAGATGGATGCTAAACCAGCCTTCCCTGCAGTTCCATCTTGACGGCTCTCAATCCCTCCTCAGGACGTATTTGGGTGCGTTGACACCTAGCATCGAGACTATTGACTTGTTATCAGATCACCCAGGACGGATGTTAATGCAAGGTGCAAACAGCAGCCTCTATGACTATAGTAACATTAAAAAGCTGAGCATGTCTATGATATCCTGCTAAAGAGAAAAACAGCTTCACGCTGGGAATGTTTGAACAGCATTGTTACACAGTGCCTCGTAATGACAAGCAGACAACGCTTAACCATTTCACCTGACTCTTTGGTGCTTGTTCAGTGTGCCAGCTACAGCCGTTTGAATAGGTACAGGACTCCGACTCGACTCTCATTCACTTCAGAATGTCGGTTGTATTATTCAGCTTTGTGTCTGTCAGCTAGCTCTTTGACTCCCATAGAACATGGACAAACAGCATTTAGGGAAACAAGCCACATAAAAAGTGAGCGAGGTAGCAGTCTTTCATGTCATGGACACAAATCTGTGACAGCAGGACGGTTAAAGACTTTCACCTGACCCTCTGAAACTCCTCCTTATATGTTTACTCAGTGACTTCTGACAAGAGAATGAACAACAGCATTTGTTTTGGTCCAGACGGGTTTTCAAACAGTTGAATGGCAGGGAACCTCATCAGCTTTCTTTTTCATGTCATTTAAATAGGTTATGGAAACTGAGATTAAGGAGTTAGTCTTTGTGGCCTATCAAGTGCGTTTAAAATGATTGTGTTTATATCTAGACGCAATATACTCTAGGACAAATTCTTCTTCGTCATTTCACCAATACAGATGTTGGAGTCTCTGCCAGCTGCGAAAGCCTTTGTCTTGGTCTCTCTTTTTCCCACACTAATCTCTCTTACTTGTTGTGCCTCAGTTTTTGACTACTGTATCTATAGATGACAGGTGTCACAATATATTAAATAACTGTGAAATAATCAGTCAACCATACACTCTATGCTGTTATATATTAGTCATAGCATTTGTAGCTATGGGAACCCTGGTGAAGGAATGATTGTCATCTTACACACCCTGAGGTTTTGACTATTTAGTCACAGCTATTATCTTTGTGTTGTTATTATTGCTACAATGCCCTGGCTTCATGCTCTGGGTGTCTTTCGTGTCAAATTGGAAATAATCATTAGTGACAAGAAGCGACAAGAGGTATTTAGAGCATTCAAGTCACCTGTGTCAGGTGAGACTGTGTCCTTTAGGTTCACACTAAAGATGAGGTAGTTCTACCATTGTTTTTTATAACTATTAGAAGTTTAATACTGAAGCACCAAGAGCACAAGGATAGTCTGCACAGTACCTTATATTGTTAAATAGAAGTATTTATTTCTTCAAACCCGGGATTTCTTTCTGAATCTTAAATGTTGTCTAAACACAAGCTGCTGTACAAAAACTGCTGAGATATAACAGTCTAAGATTGGCAAAATTAACATTTAAATCAGAACCTGGCTGATCACAGGATGAGTAAATAACCGAGCAGACTTTGGATGCCAGCTTTCAGGACTTGACAGTTTCTGATACTGATATTGTGCTGTAGACACATTTTCCTTTGAACCAAAAAAGACAACATACACTATCTGACTAGTCATGCTAAAAGGCTTTGAACAGGTCCCTTACTTTGTACAATGACTTTATTAAGTGTTATTGTTTCATCTGAAAGATATGTTTTTAAAGCTTTATCAGTGTAGCATACATTCTTCTTGTTTCATCTTGTTTAGAAAAAACATTAATTATGTTGTCAGTTTACCCAAACATGACATGATGCCTAATTCTTAAAGGGTTGGTTGGGTTTTTTTTGTGTTAAGGAAAAAACAGACAGTGGTCTCTTTGTTTTTCTTTGTATGCCTTCTGCTTATAATAAATATATTTTATGATTGAAATTATAGCTTAAAATTATATACCAATAAATTGGTTTGAGATTCACTGTAGAAAAAAAAGAAATTAGATTTAGATTGTATTTAAGCTGTTTTTAAACCGTATTCCTGTGTGATCTTTACCCTGTTGCTTCCTGCCAGATACCTTGTGAAAAAGATAGAGAAATGAAATGTGGTTATTAATTATTGGTACAACTAACCACATGATTGAGGCATACCTTGTATCTGAAATGACTTATCCCATCTCCAAAGTGAAGTCAAACTCTTCACTTGACCATTTCCATCTTCCTGGAGTAGACCGTAGCTTTTTTTTCTTGCTCCCTTCCCTCTTCCTCTTTTTTTCTCCTTTATCTCACCTTTCCTTAGACAAACTCAGACATGAACACAGACATCCACCCAACTTAGACATTCCTCTCTGACACTGACTATTCAGTTGTCTGGAAATGGAACAGCTGGACAGCCACATTGTGCCTTCAACCAAACCTCACTGACTCTTCAGTTATTTCTATCCTTGTCTGTGTTTTAGCATTGTAAAGTTAGTAACCGACTGACGACTCACTGCAGGTTTTCTGCTCCGCATCTGTCAGCAACGCGGGACATTTTCAGGCCGGGTCATTTCTCATGGATTTCCTGTGAAGAGCAGCTTAAATGTTGAGTTTGGGAAAGGGCTCTAAACATACGTGTATTTAAGTAATGGAGAGAACTGAACCTCCCAGGGGTAGCAAAACCTTACACCTTTCTTTTTTTTTAAGGAATCCTGAAAGGATGAGAGCCAAGCTTTAACTCACCTTTTTATTATTCCAAAAACCAAATAAACATAAATACTACCCCAATTCAAGCAGCTCTTAGCCACTTGATATGTTATTGCTTAGATATTAGAGTAAACTTTAGATGTTTGTCAGCTTGCATTTCTGACTTTAGAGTTTAAGAGTTTAACAGCAGACCTATAGATCAGCACATGTCAAGCTACTTTGATGATAAGCAAAGATATGGATGTTGAAAATCTGTTTCTTTAGTCCTCCAAAGATTAAATTCACATGTTTGAGCAGATACAGAGTAGATTAATGCCATGTTGTTCAATTCATGCCCACAAGGTCATTCAAGGTAAATGATGCATTCAGGACATACTATAACTGTGAAAAACGAGTCTCAAACATGAACAACTGTGCCACTTGTTTGCGTGACTTAAGGCCCGGTCTATTGAGGATAGCCACTTTTGATGCTTTTGTCCCTCTCTACTATTCTTTTACAGTTTCCTTTCAATGTTCATCCATTATGCGGGCCAAAGCACAAATGTATCCTTTGCATTTTCCGACCAAATACAACAATGCACACTGTGCTTTTCCTTAGCTGCACAGTAGCCCTCTGATCGTCACAATAAGCTTACTTTGCCATATCCGGGCTGGCACACAGCATGGGCCTTCACAAAATAGAAAACTAATGGCTGTGCACTGTTAACACAATAGACGCTGGTCTTTAGTCCCAGTCTTTATAAAACACTTTGTAGCCACAGCAGGTAGAAAGAGACGGGCCGACAGTCCCGTCCCTCTGTACAAACAGGAAGAGAGGGCAGAGTGAATGAAAGAGAAAGGCACGTTGAAACTGAGATGAGGATACATAAAAGAAGCTCAGGGTCTGCTAAATGACAGCCAGCTCACAATGATTTCCCCTCTGTTGCCACTCTTTCATACCTGGTGTTTGTAACTAAAAGCATTTGAGATACTGCATTTTTTTTTCTTTGTGCATGATTTTTTTTTTTCCCACACACCCGGCATCTCGTCTTCAATCTTTTGTGCTTGTGCGTCTATTATTGTGTTGTTCGTTAGTCAGCGCCACTTTCTTTCTCCCTCTCTCCCCAGGACGAGCGGGAGGCAAGAGAGACAGTGAAAAGAGAACAGGACGAGGCCTACCGTCTGTCTTTAGAGGCTGACCGTAAAAAGGTAATTTCAAAACAAAAACAAATAGTCTAACTGCATGAGTGTGCAGTAGCTTGTGGTTTTAATTGAACACATAGATTATTTCATTTTCAGGTTAAATCACCACCTTTGATTTTTTTTAGCAGCACATTTCTTTTTGAACAATATAAAATTATTTGTGCTACTTTTAAAACAATTTTTTGCACAGAAAGTGTGTTCATAATACAAAGAACTAATAATAAATAAAATGGCCCTAAGGCTTTCATAATTACTTATTTGTCAAATGACATCACACTTTTTGGTGACTATCAGGATACTTGACAACTAAGTTCTTTATTAGATGAAAGATTCACTCACTAACACTTTTGTTCTAAGACATTTGGCAGCTTCTAGAAACAATCGTTCCATTCCTCAGTGTTACACATCATTTGATATTTTCACTTTGATTCTAAGGTTACATCACATTTGATTAAATTGCTACCTTTTCTTTTTCAGCGAGAAGCCCAGGAGAGGGAAGAGGCCGAGCAGGTTCGCCTGGAACAGATGAGAAAGGAGCAGGAGGATGAAAAGGAGGTGAGACAGCAGCCCACACACATCATACACACATGCAAATGATCTTAAATGAATATTCCAGGTTAATCAGTACAAGGCTGAACAGTGATGTGTTTTGCCAACACACAGTGACTTTGCAATCGTACTGTTTTTGTTGTTTTTTTTTTTTTTTATCCTTCTTACTCTCACTTCACAATAATGAGTCAATTAGATTGTGGTTTTGGTAAAGCCTGCCAGTCAGTGGGGCGCAGGGAGTGTGAAGAACAGACATACAGCCATTTCAGAACAAATGAAATATCCTAATTACAGTGAGGGCCATCCCTGCCAATGTCACCTTACACACAGTTATTGTTCTGTTTTTACAGCTTTACACTGGTATAGAATGCAGCCCATATTGAACCCAACTGAACAATAGACTGAGGCAAAACACACAAAACCTGGACAAACACACAAATGTTCACTTGAAATCAATTACTGAATGTGATGGGGGTGAAAACACACACACACACACACACACACACACACACACACACACACACACAGGCAGACACTGTCATGCATGCAGGAAAAACAATACTTGTCTACGAGAATGGCACCAATGTTGTTATACAGTCTATAGTAACACAGTGTAGTCCTGCTGAGTGTTGTTTACTTAACAGCAGAGAGCCTGAGGCAGAGAGAGGTATTGGGTGACCCAGTGATTTGTCACTAAAGTTAAACAGAAAACAACAAAAGAGGCCTGGGACGGGCCTTCTTAATTATATCTCTTTAGTCCAATAACCACACGCAGTATGCACGGTTGTGTGTTTTGAACAACAATAGCCACTATGCCTATTATATACTGTTTGTCCTACTTTTATCAGTTTTCTCTGCCCGCACACATTGGTTTCCATATGTACAGTCAAGATATTCCTAAGTATAAAAGCCAACAACAGCTGCTGGAATAAGACAATGTAGAGAAACGTCGCTAAACTGTTTAGCAACTCTTATAGAAGATCCAAGGTGACATTTTGATCAGAATATAAGGCATTTGATTGTGTCAACTTGTAGTTCTGCTGAGCTTAATCTGCTGTGAAACTGAAATAAATTGGAAATTGACAAGAAAGCATTTTCTAAAGTTTAAGTTTCATCGTAGATTAGACTTCCTGATTCCATTCTTGAGACACCCTCAAATTAACTTATATAATGTTTTTACTCTTGATGTATTTACTAGCATGTTAATGTAAATTATTTTATATCATGAAATTGTTTTATGGGCCTAACAAGCTAAAGCTCAAAATAATAGCTTTTTGTTTACAGCTGTTTTTAGAATCTCTGATAGTTAATGACAGAAACTACAGACAAAAGCAAAACATCAGTTGCCACAAGAGAGAGGACAATGCTAGTGGGACTGCACTGTGAATGTGTTTCATGTGCCTGCAGTTTGTTTGCTCTATATACCTCCTTCAGGGGGTCTTAGCATACAGTTGTCTGTCTGTCAGGTGCACCTGTTTGCTTTCTGTGGTTAGCTGAGCAGATATGAAGAGGCAGATTAATGTGGGAGAGATGCTTCTGCGTATTTGAGTGGAGCGGCCTGTGTCTGAGCCTCGGCCAGACGCATGTCATGTGGTTTCTTTGGGGACGCTTCCTCTCACTTCTGTGGGTTTGTATGCGTATGCGTGTGTCTGTGGTTGACTGTGTGCATTTGTATGGTGTCGATCATACACATGCTCCTTTGTGTTGTGTGTGTGTGTGTTTGTAAGTTTCTCCCCAGGGGCCCCTTTAACTCAGTCAGCATCAGCTCTTATACCTGAGGGAGCTGATAGCAGAGTGGCACGCGCTCTACCCTGCCCACCCAACACTAGAAGCTGCTAATGAGCTACTGTTGTACACTCTTATGAAATATAATTGCATTATGGTGTGTAAATAAAGCCGGGGCGTGTTGTCACAGCATATGCTCCCCGGCTGGCCAAACAGGAACAACAAGCTGGGGGGAGGAGGAGGTGAGAGGCAGGAGTAGGGAGAAAAGGGAGGCTCGAGGGAGCGGCTGAAGCGCGGGTTTTAGAGCACAGGAGAGCTGGTTAGCTTTGCTGTGGAAGATGAGAGTCTGCAGTTGTCTTTGTGCTACATGAGCTACTCTTGCTCAGGTGTCAACAGTATTCCCTGATTTAAGATGTTAAAAAATGTATTTTCTCTTATGAATAAAGACTTGTCTGAGGTACGCACTGATGTTTCTCAACAGACTGAGCAACAACAAGAAAGCATAAAACACCAGTACAAAAGAGCTTTTAACTCACTGAAACGCTTCTTCACTTCCTTTAAGGCTGCACCAGGCTTTAGGGAACAGGGTGAGACACAGGGCGACTAATTTAATAACATTCTCAGGACAAGATGTTCCTTTATGCATCTGAAGCACACAATGCTGTAAACAGTCTCTAGAAAAGGAAGCTGCAACAAGTTCACTTTTTTGCACCTGTTCCTGATGTCACTGCTGTTAGTAAAAACACACACACTTTTTGTGCATATAAATAGAAAGCTAAATTACACCGCTTTTAATCAGGAAGGAATAAAATCAGATTCCAGCCAATGTTTTATTCATAGATCATCACTAGATTCATCTGATTAATAACTTGTTTATTTAAGTCACCTGTCACAATATTTCTTGTGATGCTGCTGTAACATGAACAAACTATGAAATGAAAAAAAAGCAGGCTTTGTTATGCTAATGGTCCTGAAAAAAAAATAGACTTGCATCATCAGTAAAGACAGCTGCATCCCAGCTGCACCTGTATGTAAACATGTTTGCCTTCACTCAACCCTGTGAGTCACTACTGCATCTTCTTTCTCCACATCTTCAACCTTCCTTGATTCATTTTCTTGTGTTATAAGAAGAGAATAGAGTGAGAGAGAGGGAGAGAACAGACATATTTCTCTCCTCAGAGGAGTCCTCAGCTTTTATGTGCAACTTTCCTACTACACTTATTCACTGACATCATGAATGGATTCATCGTTCTGATGTTACCTTTGTGCGCTAGTTAATTTGCTGTAATGACCAATAACACTGGATTGTCTCCTTCTTCTTTCAGGCAATCCGCTTGTCATTGGAGCAGGCCCTACCGACAGAGCCCGGCGAGGATTCAGCCGAGCAAATCAGCAAATTGCGTATCCGCACACCAAGCGGCGAGTTTCTGGAAAGGCGTTTCCTGGGCAGCTGTAAGCTCCAAGTCCTCTTTGACTTTGTGGCCTCTAAGGGATACCCCTTTGAAGAGTTCAAGCTCCTCACCACCTTCCCTCGTAGAAATGTGAGTGTTATACTTTCATATTCTTTTACACAGATATCAAGCTAATGTTTATAAAATAATGAACCCCTCCTGCTTATATACTGTATGTCCTGTAAAACGGTTTTAAAAGACCAAACAGTTCCAGGATGTTAAATTCACAGCTGGGGAAAGTAAAGACTCTGCTCTAAGAATGGAGTTGAATTATCCATTCTTATTGAGTGCTGTCTCTCTCAACAGTTCTCTGCCCACAAAAACAAGTGCTAAATGTGTCTTCACTGCAGAGGAGAAGCAGCAGGGTTATGAAGGGTTATTGGCCACAGCTCACATCTTTGCTGGAGAGATCCACAGCTGTAATTGGCTTTTCTGTTTAGGCCTGGACTGAAATTTTGTCGATGGCTGTGAGCAGAGAGTAGCAGGGATCAGAGTTAAAGACAATCTGTCATGGCTGATTAAGTATTTCTTTCTATTTGTCATGATTGTTTTTATTGTCAGTGTGCTACAGCAGCACTGCTTTTGTTTATTTGGTACCAGTGATGAGCAAACTGTTTATCCGCCCACCTGCGCACACACCTTATTCAGTGAATATTAATTAGCATCAGTGCATTGTGAATACAGTACACTATGACTGAGTTAGGATACAGTTGTCAGCACTAACAGTAGTATGGCTCTTCTGCTGACGCCCCTGCAGCACTCAGCCAGCTACAACCAGTCATTAGAGGGCTCAGTTGCCGCGCTCCGTGGCAGCGAGCTAATGAGCACTATTTTAACTACCAGTTTAATTAGCCATGCTGCTGGAAACAAAAATGGGATTTCCATTAATCAAGAGAGGAGTTCATGTGGAGGGATGGGTGGTGGTGTGTGTGTAGAGGTGTGTGTGTGTGTGTGTGTGTGTGTGTGTGTGTGTGTGTGTGTGTGTGTGTGTGTGCGTGTGCGTGTGTGCGTGTGTGTGTGTGTGTGTGCGCGTGTGCAGGCTTGCCCAGGCAGTGTGCCATGGTAGTCTGTAGAGACTGCCGGGGCACAAACACCTCAAACTAACACACACATTAACGCGTAGCTCACACTCTTCATTTCGTCACAATCACACACTTCAACACATGCACAAATATTTTCAAGCAAACACATGCCCCGCTCACAACTTTGTCACTTAAAGGATTCACAGTTGTCTCTTTATAATCAAGAGTAAACATGTGTTTGAGACAGAGATAAAGATGTGTCTGCATCGCAGATGAAATTCCGGCAAAAACAGGATGGGAGGATTAGAGGGGGAGAGAAGCGGGAAAAGGATGGTGACTGCAGAACGAGTGGAAAAGAGAACAGAGAAGACAAAAGCTTAAACAAAGAAAAGATTTAATCAGAGAAACAGTCTGAAAAAGAAAAGGATAGAGAAGACAAGTGGAGAAGATATTAAAAAAGAAGAAGAGGGGAGATAATTCCAGAAAACAGAAAGGCGGAAGATTTGGGGAAAGAGAAGAGGGAAGCAGCTCGCTGTTAGTGCCAGTATGAGGCTGTGAACACAGGCCCCTGTCTAATCCTACAGCTCTGTGTTGTAATTAAATGAGAGGGAGCATAGAAAGCCTCCATCCCGTCCAGACGCTCTCACTGTTGCTCTGCCAGGATCAGAGGATAGAGGATAGACCACTATTGCATTTGTAATACTGCACAACTGTTGAAACCTTCTTTCCCTTTTTCTAGTTTTCAGCAGCTTTGTGCAGTGTCACTCTTTCTTTTGCTTTTTCCCTCCGTCCCTCGTCAGCCTGCTTTACTTCATATCCCTATACTCCTGCTGTAACACAAGTAAGAGGATCTTCTCAATCCAACCTGGGAAAAAGTTGTGTTGAGCATCTTCGGGTAAAAGTACAACATTATTGACCAGGAGAAAGACTGTTGTGAAAGAGTTAGTTTTATTCACTTTTGGAATTGGCTTTAGACAGTTTGAGATAAAACATCCAAGCTTGATCAAATTCCTTTGATTCTTCAGTTTTCAACGTTCCCAAAGCTTTGCGGATAAGTGTCTATTAGTCTCCAATTTTTGGACCCAGTCTCTTCCTCAACATTTGTTATCAGTGGCTTATCTCTTCAGCACTACAGCAGGCCTTACACTGGCATCATTTGTACTAGGCTTAGCCGTGCTCAGGGAACTAACCCTTTCTCCATTTCACTGACTGTCAGCGAGTTTGAGGAAGAGGAGGGGGGGACTTTTAGTGTTTCAGTTTTCAGCTTTTCATTCAAGAATTCCCTTCTTCTCCTTTGATACTTGTTGAACACAAACCACAGTTGAAAGGCCTGAGGTCTTCTTCCTTCAGCTCGCGGTGAACATGTTTAGACTGCCAGTCTAATAATCGTCAGTCTGCTCTTCCTGCCTGGCTGCTAGAAGACACCCAAACACTGTCAAAGCAGTGTTTTCCCACTGTGATACTGTACTCTACTTCACCTTCTGCTAATCCTTCTCCCAGACCCATCAGTGAATTCTGAATAATTCTTAGACAAAACTTGAGATGTAGAAAAAACAAACAATGGCACAGAAGAAGCTGCGCCTTGCACTGAAATAGATTTTACATCTGTTATACTGCTGTGTTTTTTCTTTTTCTTGTCCAGCTATCTGAAAGAATTCACAGGAAGAAATGCGTTGGTTTATTTTAAATGAAGTTAGAATCAAAATGTAGCTTCCTCTGGACTGCTCTAATAATCTTCCCATACCTCAAATCTAAACTTTCTCCCAAACACAGAGCTGTATGCCACTCTGCTTCATCTCTGTGAATGGCTGTGAATGTGGCTCTCTACCTCAGGCCATGTACAGAGGCTGCTATCCTCGTGATCTCTTATAGTTTCTTCACATGGATGTGAAGATTTTAACCCCAGAAGATTGTTTTTGAGGATCTCTGTCCTAACCTTAAACCAGAGCTCAACATGTCACAGTACAAGCTGATTTTTCTGTTACATAGGACCTTGAACTATATGTTTGTATTCATAGATTCTGAATTAATCAATGAAGACACAGAAGTAGATTTTAAAACCACTTCAAACTAATTATTTTTTCAAAGCAGATAATGTCAACAGATTGTTCATTCCGAATGCTAACAGCTGACTTTTACCCCGAGGGTGTCTTAGCACCCTCATTACCTTCAGCCCGCTCCTTCTCTTCCTGAAAGATTTCCCTCTCTGTCTCCCTTTTCCCTCCTCTTTTACTCCCCCTCCTTCCTCCCTACCTCACTCACTCATCTAAGAGTCCCCATCTCTTTTTTTTGCTCTGTGGTCATTTCTTTCTCAATCTTCTTTCTTCTTACTCTTTAAAATTCTATCAATTTTTTGCTAAGAACTAGTAAAAAATGTTCTTTCCCATTCCCTGTTTTTTTCTTATTTCCCCCTCAGTCCTACCCCCTGTCCTATCTGTGCGATGTATTTCTCCCTTTGAAGTACCGTATTCTGGTCTGTTCTTTTATGTTCACACCCCGGCGCTACGTGCTGTCAACGCTCCTGGCAGCAGATAATGATCTCCCACTGCTTTTGTAATTGGCCAAATAAACACTTGACAACACTAGTTTAAAACAGACAAGTTATTTGGTTTTAATTAACATAGTAGGGCCTGTAATGGCTTCATTAAAAATGCGTTATTTCAGCTGCACGTTTGATTATGTTGGAAGCGGACATCTTGAGGGCCTGTGTTTATTATTCCTTTCTCTTCTTTCATGACTGAGCGTTGCCGAGTGTGGCCGCCTCATTTATCAGTGTGTTTTATTCATTTGAGTCGAGTGACAATTGTGGTATTTATTTCAAACTTCACATTTAGAGCTAATTATGTGGAGCTTTAACTGATGAAATCTGCTGTATGATAATGCCAGATACATGGGGTTGATATTAGCTGATCACTGTATGTCAGACAATTTTTCATCGGGAAATAAAGACAAAATATCAAAGATTGCTGAGAAGCACCATCTGTCTTTTTGTTTGCTTCCAGTTTTAAAATTTGGCTTTTTAATGCCGAGCTTCCAGATATTGTATTATCTCTTCAGATTTTGAGTTTAATTAAGTTTTTTTTCTGTTAATTTGTTTTATTTTTAATTAGCAACTGGAACACCTTTTCTCCACTAATGTAATTTAGTCAGATAAAAACCCATCAAAATTAATTTCATCTTTTAAAACAGTCAGACAGTTCCCTACTTGAGCTGATTGATTTGATTTAAATTGGCTGATGAAAATTATATTGACTCAAGGTTAAAAACAAACTGCAAAGCAGAGAGCTAGATTTTGTCCGTCTTATGTATGTATGTATGTATGTATGCATGGCTGTGTAGGCACAGGAGGAAAGAATATGGCTTAGGCAGAGCAGAGGAAAAACAACAGCTTTGTTTGTTGACAGATGCCTCCATGCTTATGGTCTGTTAATTGGATAACAATGTAAACAATCACCGATGGCGCCCGTCTCCTGTGTCAGTGTGGCATCTTGTTTCCCTACTTTCTTTTTCAGAGTCAGATGCTGCTCTCCCCGCCGTCTCTCCCTGGTGCACTGCGAGCACAAACTCTCATCCCAAATTCTCTGAGAGCACACTCACATGCGTATCTGTAGTCTATGCACACACACACACACACACACACACACACACACCTGCTCCACCCCAAAGCCTCATTTACTCCTACCTGATGCTGTGGTGTCATAACAGCCTGTCGGGTTCATTAGCATGGCAGACATTTGCTCCTGAGGTGGGAAAAGGAGCGCAGCAGCCCTGTTGGTCGTTTTTCCACCGTTGGGATGGAATATGTTTGCGACTAAGACGCACACAAACACCCACACACACCATCTTAGCTCGCTTTGTGGCATCTCGCTGCCTGCTGTGCAATGAGCAGCTGACTAGGTGAGGGGCACAGGGTTGGTGCAGCGGCCCCACCCTGCCCGCAACGGGGTTCCCCAGGACCCTGCTGAGAAGTCAAGTGTCTAAGTGACACGTTGAAATGAGGACAAGGAGATGAAAGACACGGAGTCAAAGAGCGCCGACGTGTGCAGGGTGTGACATTTCCTAACACCCATGGGAGATGGATAGGTTGTCTGATGCTCATATGTCCTCCTCACCTTCTCCTAATTTTTTCTCCTTTTTTTCTCTCTCTCTCACCCTCTCTCATAGACTCCTTGAACAGCCTCCAGTTTTGCAGATTGTATAGTTATCACCAGATTAAATGTGTAGATTGTTTTAATTATTTTGAGTGTTTACTCATATCATGCGTTAAGTCTCCAATAACAGTTTTTCAGGCGCTAACAAGGACTCACGCTTTATTACCATGCAGCTGTGAGATTGTTCACAGCACCGGCATGTTGGATTTCGTTCATCTAAATTTGATTTAGATGTTAAATAACACAACTACCTCTTTTGATTGAAGCTGGTATGTCCATTGATTGATACTCCTCTAATGAACAGAATTGTTCTTTACCGCTCTTCTTCATTCTGCTTGTTTTCTGCTTTTATTTTATTTACCTTTGTCTGTCTATGACTGTTATCAGTATTTAATATTCTGTCTGCATTATTGATAATAAGGGATTGTCCTCACTGATTCCTCAAGATTCAAAAAATTCTGAGTGAGTGAATGAGTGATTTGAATTAGCACTTTTAACAATACTTGATCATTGTGAAACCACAAAGAATTTAAGAACTCTTGTTTGTTCTACATGGGCCGAACGTGGGTAAAGTTTTGGTTCAGTTCATGGTCAGAGTCCTTATTTAATAACCAACAAGCATCTGTCTCAGCCCAATCACTCCGCTTGTTGTGAGGTCGACCTTTACCATGCTGGGCTGACCTCTGACCTTCTACAGCAGGTACAGGGAGGAGGTTAATTATCCTGCTGTGAGGTTAGAATAGGAGCCTTAATCAGAGGGGCTGACGCAGCAGTCATCAGATAAGCCCAGGACACATCTCAGTGTCACACCAGCTCGCCCATTCAGCCCAGGTGTTAGATTGGCCCGATGTAACACAACCCCTCCAGTGATTAGCTCATATAAGCTAAGAGGCTCACAGTGCTGGTGGGTGTCAGAGAGAGAGAGTCAGATTGTTCTGTTAAAGAAAAAAAAAAACACACAGGTCATGTAAACTAACTCGATCTGCTCCGTTGTGGGTGGTACAGCTTTCATTCCTCTCATTTCAGACAATAGATGCTGTGCAGAGTTTTGAACACAGATCAATGTTTCTCTCCTTTCAGCATAAACTATGTTCTTGTTTCCTGCTGAATTTAGTCATTATAAGCCTGAGTTCCTTATTCCCCTCTCTCTCTTTTCTCTTTGCTGTCCTGTAACCTTCATCACATTGGCCTGGCCTGGAGCCTTATTATTAAAACAAACTAGATGGTCCTCTCAGGGAAACTACACTCTCACTTCTCAGATTTCTGCTTGAACTTTTTGTAAACACAATGTTAGAATAACACACGGTACACTCTCTTTCTCACACACACACACACACACACACACACACACACACACACACACACACACACACACACACACACACACACACCTCTTTTCAGTGAAGTCAGCGGTAAAGCTTCACTGTTTCCCAGTCTGGATCACAGGGCATACGTGGTCACAAGGAGAATCACACTTATATGGACATATCCATGGAAGGGATTTCAGTTAGGTTTTGCTGGTGTGGCAGTGGCTCTTCTCGCTTGTCATAAATTCTGTGTCACAGAATTATTGATTAGCCGAGTCGAGTGTTAAAATCAACTCTAGTGAGAACTTTGGTTCAAATCTCTTACAGTTTTAGGAAAATAGCCGCCCAGTTTGCATGATAGTAACGGAACAAGGCAGTAATGTTTAGCTGTAAGTTCTGGAAAAGTATATATAAGGTATTTAACGTTTGCTGCTTCCATCTTCCGTTTTATATATTATTGTACATTTCATGTCTTGGGGCTATGTGCTTTTGGTTTTACTTATCAATATGTTCATTTGTCCCACCTTGTCTCTTCTCAGATCACCCAGTTGGATCCGGGGTCGACTCTGCTGGAGGCCAAGTTGTTCCCTCAGGAGACGCTCTTCCTGGAGGCTAAAGAGTAGGAAGTGGCCCTCTGATAGCCGAGGAGGACCGACTGACTGACTGACTGACTGATGAACTGGCTGGACACACACTAGTCACGGAGCATGGGCCTCACCAGTCTGGGCCTACAGTACACACACACACACACACACACACACGCACAAAAATACACCCACGCACCAGATCATCCTCTCAGACATACACAAACACACTGGCATGCACATCCAGTGACACACATTGCAAGTAAGCTTCTCTGCCCTCGGCCAGGTGGTGGCACTCAAATGCCCCTGCGTGCACTCGGTGCACAGAGGAGCAAAGACAGTATCACACAAGCACACAGCCAAACACCTCCCCTAAAAAAAAAAAAACACCTGTCTCTCTCTTTCTCCTCTAACACAACTCACAACTTCTCATACACAACTGCTGTGTCATGGTTTTCTCTCACAAACACTACACAGAACGATGAGAGCATTGAGAGACTGAGTCGACATCTTTGTCACAGGAAAAAAAGAACTTGTTCCTCTTGTTTCCACATTCAAAACACCAGGCTGCTTTTTTTAGAACATGGTTTTTGTGTTTGAAATCTAAAAAAAAAAAAAGTAAAAAGTAAAATAAAGAAAGAGCAGGGGGAAAAGTTGCCCAGCAGAGATCTGGGCTGTCTCATCCCACCTGTATTTACCCACTTAACCTTTCCAACCTCCACTTTTAACCCCTCCCTGCCCTTAACCCCCCCCCCCCCCATCTCTGCTCCCATCCGTCCGCTGTCTGCTGCAAGGACAAGATGTGACGGGACACCTGCGGCGTCTGAAATGCCCCCTCAGCCTCCGCTCCCCCCTGGTTTTAACACCCACATCTCCACACACCAACGGATTGCTCAGTTTTCGGTCCTTATTTTTTTCTTTATTTTCCCCCTCTTGATCCTTTTTAAGTTTGATGCTGTATTAGTTTTAGTTTGATATACATTATATAAAATATATGAATATGAACATCAGTTTGTCTCGCCTGCAAGTCTGTTCCAAGTCACAACACACACAAACCATTTTTTTTATATTAAGTTCTTGCTGTGTAAATCTTTAATGTAGGGTGTCGAAATTAGATAGATCACCTGTTTCTACACCCACAAAAAAGTCCACATCATGACATTGCCCTGGGGAGAATTAGGGCATAAATTCAGACTCCTAGATTATTGAAAGTTGAACAAAACCATAAGTTTGTTTTGAAATCTTGACATTAACCATGTGAATCAGAAGTTTTAGTATAACCCAATCTGCCGTTGATGGATTAGCTATGAAAGTTGTTCAGATACTGATGCTAGTGTTGGTATCTGCCTCTATTCGGCCTAAAATTCCAAAACAATTTAGCCCCAAAAAGTCAACTTCAGGTGAAATATTTACTGTTTCTGGTTTTAAAACAAATGAGCTGCTTTCAGGTAACAAAGGAGAACAGAGTGGTCCTAGCTGAAAGGTGTTAGTAAATCATTCAAAGTGTCAACGATCACCTTCTTCCACCGGTGTTATTTTTTAATAGCAGTAGTATGAAGGGGTAAATCATGTCGGCTAATACTCAGGTCTAGTTAACGGAATCAGTATTAAGAAGAAAAATGATTTTTTTTTATTTTTTTTTTACATCTGAGCTTTGAAAAACACAACTTATGAGAGTCCAAACGGGTGAGACACCAGTAAGTCTGAGTTAAAAGAAATAAATCACCAATGTAGTGATCAACTTCGCTGTAAAAGTTTGTGATGTCTTCTAATTTAATGTCTGAGCGACCTGGATCTGATAGAACGAGATTCACACCTGGCAGAACTCACAGCTCGATCACAGTCAAGATAAACTGAATTCAATACCCATCCTGCCAAGTTTGTCCCAGTTTATACTGATACCCAAAGTTTAGTTTTTTTATCCTCGTGGCTCTGTCACCACATGCAGACCTTTTTGTGTGTGTCTCCTAACAGTAGTTTTAATATTCTCAATCACACACCACCTGGTAATATCAGCCACACCGCAGCTAATTTCCTGCCTTCAGTGAGGAGAGATCACTCAGGCTTAGCCCTCCATCTGTAGCAGGGCTCCTCTGTCAGCTCGAGGCAAAGTTTGAGAACCCCAGCAGACCCTGCGTCACAAACATACTGCTGCAGGAGGGGAAAATCACACTGAGGAAGGACAGCAATAGACTTAGACAGGGGTTCAGAGGGATGCATCAAATTGCCATTTCATAGATTGTATTTGTTGTGCACACCAAGAGAAATCAGGAGCACGGCAGACAGAGAGGGATCGTATGCAATACTTTGTGTTCTGTCCACACAATTATTGGGGATGTGGTGACATTATGTGAATATAGCAGACGACCAAGTGAATTTACCATTTTAGACAGGATCCTAACATTTTGACTGTGTTTAGAGTGGATAAAATAATAAATAAAATAATGTGCTTTTATAGGTGCTAATTTGAACAACTGTTTGTTCAGATGGTTCTTAATTCAGGGCTGTAGCTCCTTTTCTTGTGGTGTTGGAAACAACAATGGGAATGATATTCAAGTTTAAAATTCCAACCATAGATTTGTGAAGAAAGAAACATCTTCCATCTAAATGCTAGATACTTCATTTTAAGTACAGTTATGTAGCCAGCTGTGATAATATTGTGATTCTATATGGATTTATGATAAATGCATCTTGTGATCTTAATTGGGGGGGAAAAGAATATCAAGAGCTGAGGCTATGAATCGCTCTGGAGATGGAGTTTTCTTTTTCGGTGCTCTGTTATTAAAGTGACCAATCAAAAAACCTAATTTTTATCTTGATATTGAAAACTTCTAAATGCACCAGATGTAAACAGGGAATTCAGTGATGTGCATTTTATAAATAATTACACAACTATTACATGTTTCACAGGTCAAAGTCAGACTTCAGTGGTAACACACTCTTGACTTCTTGCTGCAGAAACACTTTACATTACAGCTCTGAATTCTTTATCTCATTAAGGGCAGAAATGTAAAACCAAATTAAGTCCCAGGGAAGTCTTCTTTATGAACCTGTTTGGATTAATCTAGATTAGATGGAGCTGTTTGAGCTGTTTTGAGTTAGTATAGTTTCAAATGGGAGTTCTGTGAGCTTCAAGCTAATCCTTGTGGGTGAAATAAACAATTATCTTGTGAATCTTTGTGAGTGCTGCCATCAAGAAGAGCTGTGTTTATTTTTTGGAAAAGAGAAGTCTCAAAAATGTTTTCTCGGCTCACATGTATGGTGTTCTTTTTGTAAAGTGAAGTTATGGTGTTCTTTTTATAAAGTGAAGTTATACTTTTTTTCTTTTAAAGACTGTGATTGATCTTGCTTTACACACAGTGAGTAGATATATGACACAAGCATCCAGGAGCGTGAGTGTTTGTCAGTTTGTCTGTGGCTGTCTTGTTTCTCACGCGAGGAATGAGTCAAGCTAACGTGCTCAGCCAGCCGAGCTTCACCACGTCTGACCAGACAGGAGATGTTGCTGAAGGCACTGAGGAGGGAGGGAAGGGGGAACACTTCAGGGTGTATTTTCTTGACTTTCTGTCACTCTTTCTTTGACTTTTGAAAATATTTGACATCTAGTGTTTAATCATTCCTGTAAACCATGCAGTTCCTTTGTCAAAAAGTAACATTTTCCTCAACAATATATGTCATTCATATGAAGAAAAGAAAATCATTATTAAAACCCTAAAAGTTCATCCATTCATTAAATGTCAGTTTTCTATGAGCCTTGTAAGACCTTAAAACTTGACAACAAGGCATTGCATGTTGAATGAAAATGTTTGAACTACAAGGGTCACGCCACAGTGCAGCACAATGTTAGTTTTTGTTGTAAGGTATTTAGCAATGAAATCCATTTTTAAGACAAATTTGCAGACTTTGTGGTGATTCAAAGGGCAACCAAAGATGTGACCTGTGGAAATGTTAAGACAATGAAACAGCTTCACTACAAGCAAGAGTACACAACAGGTAACAGTTCAGATATCATTATGTGATCTCTCTCCTGCAAAGTACTTGATGATGACAGAAAAATCCTGGAATCAGATCAACTTTATATATAAAGCACTTTACACACAGCACAGTTGATCCAACAAAAACGCACAGAATAAAAGGAGGAAACAAACAGAAATGGAAGAGAAGAGAACATCAGGAGTGATGAAGGATATACAATTTGAATCATGTCAATAATAAAAGTAGTATAGTTAATAAAGGCTTTAGGAGAGAAACCTGTACTGGTTTAATTATGGACCGTTAAAAGCTAAGGAGTAAAAGTAGCCAATGTTTTGAGATGACTCTTTAAAATGTCAATAGTTTAAAAGTCGATTCCGCAATAACCCAAAATCGTTCCTGCTATTATTATAAAGTAACACTAACCTTTTTTTCCTGACTTTATGCTAAAACACTTCACATCATTGTTCAAGGGAGTATGATAACCCTTTTGTGAAGGCACTTTGTGTGTACAGGTAGAACATGAAGTTGTGATTATTTTAGGTGCAGCTCGGGGCGAGGGCGAGGTGAGAGCGGGGCGAGCTGCTCGTTGAGCGTGAAGCCGGAGGTGCGTTAGTGCAACAGACAGGACAGGTGCATCAAGTGCGCTCGTCCTCGGGGGAACAGTGAACATAGTGCAGCTCCTCTCAGCTGTGAGATTACTGTTTCTATCACGCAGATCTATGAATTTAATGTGCGCAGGCATGTTCCTCTGTAGCTCTGCGGCTGGTGATGCTGATGGACTCGGAAATGCCGATGAGACTTAATGATATTCCTCTATTATACCTGACCAGACTTGTCATCAGTTTTTTGTTGTTTTTTTGTTTTGTTTTTTCACCAAGGGGAAAGTCATCAGGTTTTTAACTGTGTGAGCGCAAGAAGAATGAATTGTGTTACAAGGTTTAAAATAAAGTTGATAGCTGTTTGATGTGAAATATATTAAACAAAAGAGATGGAGTAGCTTTATAAACAATACTTTATGACATTCTATTCACATATTTGTGGGAGTAAAACTAAAGAGAAACCTAAAATCTATCAACATTGTCAAAGATGATTTCAAAATGAAAAACATCATAGCCTTAAATTTGTCCCATTTCTTTATTTGATTGTTTGAAATAGTTTTTGGGGTTTTTTGTATTAAGTAAAATGTATAAACATTTGTCTTGTGTGTTCTTGGTCCATAAGTCAGACTATGGCTGGATGTCTTAATCAGCAGCCCTTTAATGTGACAGCGGAGGATGAGAAAGTGTCTGTGTGTCTGTGTGCTAATGGGCTTACTCTGCCTGCCTCCCTGCCACAGATTCAGTGGTGGCAACATCAGGTTGCTGTCTTGATTCTCCGACAACAAAAGAGGAAAGCGTCCGTGATGTTTAACCAGCTCCGCCGGGGTCAAGAATGCAGCCCACTGGCGAGGGAACAAAATTCCTGACACAAGTGATCTCTCCTCCTTCCTTTTGAAGTGGGACCCGCTGAGATCTGCGAGCACGGCGGCTCCCTGAATCACAGGATCCCCGCTCCACTCGTATCCCAGACTGGCCTAACCTGGAGGGTCACCCCGAGTTTACTTTCTCAGAGACGCCGGGCCTGCCCAAAGAAACAGAATCTAT